TAATATAAATAAAATACCTTTTATATTACCTTTATAGTTATCTTAAATAGAATATAAATAGTATTAAAACCTATAGCTTTATTAATAATATAAAGGATTCTATAAGTATTAATCTAAAAGATATTAATAATAATTATATAGTTAAAGTTTAAGTTATCTCTAAGCTTAAATTTAAACTATTAGGGTATTACTATATTTATTTAGTAATATTTAAAATACTTAATAAGCTTTTTAATCTCTATTATTATAATAAGATAGCTAACTTATTTAAAGATAATATAAAGTTACTAAATAGAGGAATAACTAAAATAGTAATAAACTTAATAAAGTTTAATATTAATTAAGTTATAGTATATAAAAGATTTTTCTAGATTTAGTAATAGCTAAATATAGCTCTATTTATAAATAACTAGTAATTTTAATTTACTTTATATAAAGATATTCTTAATATTATTAAACTATACTCTATAGTAATCTATATCTCTAAAGTAGAGTAAGAAGGGGGTCTTTAGAAATATAATATAGAAGTAAAAGGTTCTAAAGGGGGTAGAAACTTTAATTATTCTAAGTAAGGCTTTTAGCTAGCTATCTCTAAAGTAGATATTAATAATACTAATAGTCTTAATATTAAGCTTAATATTTAGAAGAACTCTTTTTAATACTATATATTACTATTAGCTAGTTATAAAGTATTTAGTAGTATTAATATTAAGTATAATACTTTAGAAGATCTTTAAGGAGTAAAAGCCTTTTAGAGTAAACTCTAATTATAGCTTTATTCTTTTTATATATATAATAATAAAGGGATCTTTAGCTATTATAATATAGTATATAGAGTAGTTAATAAGGAAGTTAATAACTTATTAATAGTTAATAGGTTTAATACTTATTATAAAGTATATATTATTAAGTTTATTATTCTTAATATTATTATCTTTAAATAATTCTAATAAGTAGTTAAATTATTAATTATACTATTCAATAGTATTATTATTATTATTATTATTAAATAAACCTTTATACTATATAAAGAACTAAATATATCCTTTAAGTATATTATTATAATAGAAGTAGTTAGATTTATATCTCTTAAAGTATTAGTTTTATTCTTCTTTAGAGTACTTCCTTACTATATATCTAGACTTATAATAGATCTAATACTTTAAGTCTTATTAGGGGTAATAGTTATAATAGCTATTATTCTTATTATTATTATTATATTATTAACCTCCTTAAAAGTTATTCTTTTTATCAAAAGAGCTAGAGAACTAATTATTCTTATTATTATTATAAAACTAATTTATAATATTTTAATCTAAAGGAGAGAATAACTTTAGTAATACTATAAACTAAAAGGCTCTAAATAAGTAGCTTATTATATTAATAGAGTTTTATAACTAGTTAATAATATTAATATAGATATTAATAAAGTTAAAAAAAAGTAAAGATATATATTAAAATACTTTAATAAGTATTAAAAAGCTAATTATAAAGGTTTTTATTATTCCTCTATAAAATAAATAAGCCCTTTTATAATTAAATAAGCTTAATAATTAGCTTCTTTAAGGTATTCTTTTAACTTATAGAAGAGTTATCCTTTATAATATTAATAAGAATAATATCTCTCTATTTAGTAAGGTAAACTTACTTCTTTTTATTAGTTTTAAAGTATATCTTTATAGCTATAGTTATAATTACTATATTATTACTATAGCTTAAGCTATTAATTATAATATAATTATAATAATATATAAAAGCTTAGCTTTTAAGTATAATAGAGAAAGTATTTATATATTAATATTTCTTAATATTAAACTTTTAATAGTTATTATAAAAGATAAATAACTTAAAGTTTAATATATTATATATTTCTCTATTATACTTTAGCTTATTAATATATAACTTTATAAGTATTATAAGGGATTATAAGTTAATATTATAAGTTATTAAGGTTTACTCTTATCTATAGAATAAGGTTTTATTATTATTAGTTTTTTAAGTATAATAATTAAGTAGACCTAAAATAGAGAGAAGAGAAAGAGAGAGAAAGAGGTATAAACTTAAAGTTATAATATCCCTAATAAGAGAGGTATTAAGCTAATTACTTTTATTAATAACTTTAATATAGAAGTATTTATTTTCTTTTAAATATTTCTTAAAGATTTTATTTCTTTTAATATAGCTATTAATTTCTCCCTTAATCTAAAAGTAATAAGATAGTTAAATTAAAATATTATAAATATCTTTAAGGATATAAATTTCTATAAAGTTAAATAAGACTCTATTATCTATAAGACTCTTTTAAAGGTAAAAGAGAACTATAGTATAAGTATTAATAAGGTTTTATTCTTTTTAACTCTTAAAGTCTTTTTTAAATTTAAAAAAGAGGTCTCTACTATAGAATAATAAGTTATTTTTATAATATTTAGCTATATAGTAAATAAATAAAGTATATTATTTAGGATTAGCTATAGCTTTATTAAACTTATTAATCTTACTATAAATAGCTAAGTTAAAGTAAAGCTTAATTTTATTATAACTCTTAAAGTTAAGCTTTTTTATAATAAAAAGAAAAAGAGAAAAAGTAAAAGTCTTATTAAAAGATATTATTAATATTAATAAAAGTTATTTTTATAATAGATAAAGATATATAGTTAAAAAGAATAAAAATAAAAAAAATAAAATAAAAAGATTAAAAAATAAATAAAAATTCTTTACTAATTTAAATAGAAAGTACTAAAAGAAATAAGAAACTAATAGATATTATAAGCTAGTTATTTTACTATTTTATAAATATAAAGTAATAGAGTAAAATACTCTTTATTATTAAGTAAATATTCTATTTATAAAGTTATAAAATAATAATATTAAATAGCTTTATATTTATACTTAAATATAAATAATTCTTTTTAGTTATAATATTAAAGTTAAATCTATTTATTAAATAACTTATAGCTACTACTATTTATATTAGCTATTATCCTATTTCTCTATAAAAGAATTATTAATAATTAGTAATTATAGCTCTCTAAATAGATATTTATATTTATCCTCTCTCTAAATATACTTCTTTTTAATAGAGGTAACTTAAAGAGAGATATTATTAGTATTTTAGTTATTATTAATATTATTATTAAGTTATAGGGATAGAGGAGATACATTAAAGCTATTATAATAGTAATTTATTATCTATTTAGTTTCTTTCTCTCTAATTATAAAGTATTTAAATAATATTATTATAAGTAGTTTCTTAAAGTCTCTATAGTATATTAAGTAACTATAATAAAGTTACTTTAAATTATAAAGTATAATAAAGAGTTTAATTAATAAAGAATAGATATAAAGTTAGTCTTATCTATTTATTTAATAATAGAAATAATTAAAAGGAATTATCTCTTTTATATTCTAGCTATAATAGATCTCTAAGTAAAAATATAATAATTATTAAACTATTTATTATTATAAAAGCCTACTTTAAATAGTAATAAAGATAGAATCTTTATAGTAATATATTTAAGTTAAGCCTTTTAATCTATAAGTTCTAAAAGTTATTACTATATAATTTATAACTTATACTTAAAATATAATATTATAGGGTAATATAGTTTTATATATAATATTTAAATAGAGTTTTTATACTCTTTATTTATTAGATATTTATTTTAAATAAATAGAAAATAAAAGTAATAAGTAATAATAAGAGGGGAAATATATTATAGATAGTATTATTATTATCTCTAGAGGTCTTAAGGGATATTAAATACCTATAATAGAGTTACTTTAAATTATAAGATATAAAAGTATTTAAGTAGGAGATTAATATTTAATTATTACCCCCTTAGTTTATTTAGTTATCTCTAAAGAGAGTAATAATAACTATTTTTATAACCTATATTAATATAATTAAGAGAGAGAGTAATAATATTAATAATATTATTAGCTAATATAAAAGCTAGCTAAATAATAAATATATAAAAGAAAAATCTTTATAATTATATATATAAGTAAGCCCTTTTAATAGGTTTTAATTTTAAGTTAAGCTTTATTTATATATCTTATTTAATATATAAATAGTAATAATAAATAAAGTAGTTTCTTAAATATTAAAAGTAATAACTTCTTATTAATTATTTAAGCTAAATAAGTAGGTACTAAAGATAATAAAGGATAAAAAAGAATAATTATTATTATTAATAGCTTATTATAATATATAAAGATTATAAGACTTTACTATTTATATTTATAACTTAAATAAAAATAAAAGTAATAACTACTTTATTATATTAAGGCTAATCTAAAAGCTAATAAGACTAAATTAATAAGCTTATTTATTTTAAGCTTAGAGGTATTAATAATAGTATTTTTATAGTTATTAAAGGAAGTAATAGTATTATAATAAAGTTTATAATAAAAAAGGAGGTCTATTTATATTAAATCTCTTTACTACTTAACTTAATTAGTATCTATTAGTTTACTTAAAGTATTTAATATATAATAAATATAAGAAGTAGTTATAATTTTTAAGTAAATAATAATAGCTATTTAAATAGATCTAAGGTCCCTTAAGTAGTTAGTAATAATTAATTAAATAGAATTATAATACCTCTAAGTAGTATAATAGCTCTATTTACTAATAGATTATAAGATCTATAGTTAATATAAAAAATTACTTCTTTTTAATAATCCTTATTAATCTATAGTTTAAATAGTATAATAGTAAAGTTAATTACTAATTAGTATTAATATTATAAGGGGTTATATATATATAATATAGGGCTCTATTAGTAATAAGATACTAAGTATATAGAAAGGGAAGTTTTAGCCTAGTAGGCGCGCGCGCAATAGCGGCAGTATAGTGGGGGTGGAGGCTGGGCCTCACACCGCCCACTTACGCCGCCCGATTCTGCCGGCTAAACCCACACTATCTATCATTAAGTCTGCCGCTGATTTATGACCGCTGATTCCTCAGTGTCTACCCTCGTTCCCACGTCGATCTTCTTTCACGGCCCGCAAACCACAACGGCCCCTTCCATAGCACCGAGTATACCATGATAGAACAGCCATTCGCCGAGGTCCTCTCTGCTGATGAAATACCCAGGAGGAGGGTTTCCTGGTGATCCATGCCTGATTGCCGCCAGTCCTAAGGGTCTGTTGTCTGTGAGAAGACCAGGTTGCACCACCAGGTTGTCGAAACATTCGAGTCCCGCTTCTTGCATCTCGTCAAGTACAACTTCTTCCAACTCCGACTTGTCGTCGTACGCTGAGGATCCCTTGAACCAAGCATAGCTAGCTCTGGCCGATGCGGCCTCTGCACTGGGGGTTCGTGTTAGAAGTCGTGTTACTTGGCCGCCGATTCCAAGAGATCCGATGGCCACGATACGGGGACACTCGCTAGGCTCAGAAATGAGAGCTTGAAATACGGTGCTAATGCCATCTTTGGAGACGTCGCTATCGTATATCATTCTGCCGTGCACATCGACGCCGCCCACTCCGAAAATGATTACGTCCACTGGGCCCGTCAATATTTCACAAGGAGGAAATATTGTGCTTTTGACGGCGGACCTGCTTCTGATGTCACCTTGAATGACGCGAAGTAAGTCGTGTGAAGAGGTCCCAGTTGCTCCCGTGAGCAGTCTGTGCAACTTTCCGGTGTCTCGAACAACTGTAGCATCTTGTCAGCCACTGACTGATAGAGATGACGCCAAACAGTCAAATTATAACAGACCATCGTTTAGAAAGTATCATGAAGGGATAGAGAAAGAAATAACGTACGGACGTGGCAGTGAATGTACTCTTTCTTGAGGGCATGTACGAGACAGCTGAAGACTGTGCCTCCAGTGGCGCCGAAAAAGGCAACGTTGAGTAGTTCGTCGGCACTCATCGTGGGCAACAGGCTTAAAACTGGCGCAGAAGAAATTCAAGAATGACAAGAGTCGAGTTGATAATGATTCTGTTGTGTAAGGGATATCGGTGAGGTGTTGTCGTGACGAAGTCGCCGCAGGAGCAATATGCTGATCCAACGTCGTCTAATGTTGCATGGTCAGGTCGAAGTTATCTTGGACCAAGTCATAGTGGGCGAAAGAAAGATCAATTTTGTTTCTAAAGCCTATTGCAGGGAAGCTGCCCTGTGGTTACATGGCTCCTTCTCGACTGAGAACTTAGATAACAACGACGGCAGGAATCAATCAGAATGAATATCGCCATCGCTTCCTGCTCCCTGTACAACATGGGCAAGAAGGTTCAACACGAAAACGGCAAGCAGAGACCACAAAACATTGATGTGCAGCCTAAGAAAGGTTCGTGAGGTGGCTGGTTGCTACTAGGTCACACAATCCATCATAATGGAGTTTTGCCTTCTTCGGCGAGATGATTGATACTGACAAAGATCTAACGGGAATATGACGAAGTCAGGGAAGGCATGACAGAGGCAGACAGTAGAGCCAAGTGCAAGTAAGTATGGACGTCACGGCAGCTACGATGGGAACGTACAAGCTCCAGCGGTGTGGTTATTCTGCTGCCTGTTGAATAATACCAAGACCAAGGCGGCGCCTCATCTTAGTTGTTGACGGGATCTAATACTGTGGACGAACTATGGTATGAGGTGTGCATCTAGCAGCGGAGGAGTCGCACCAGTTGAACAAGCAGATCTTAGCGCGCCATTCGAAATTGAATTATCCACTCGGCATCTGGAATAGCTGACATTCGAGAAGTGTCGAAGAGCGTTCCCTGTGTCCAATCGAATACATTCTCGATGGTGCCGGCGCTTTAAAGCTCCGGGCTGAGGTGAAGTGAATGATTGCTCAAGCTCTTAGCTAGCCAGCATAACATCTAGAAACCGAACACGGACATGGACGTGGGATAATCTCGTCAGACTGATAACTGTGTCATCCGTGGCCGTTCGATGGAAGCAATAGGAGGCTTGAAGGGTCCGGATGTCTCAGATCGCAGCCGTCAGCCCGCATCATCGGGTCGAGAAACGCTCGGGAAGCCAGACGGACGGTTCCTTTTTGCCAAACACGACAGAAAAGCCAAGTTTCCTAGTCCACGCACCATGGATGACCACCGCCACATTGCAACGTGAACGCTGCGTTTTTGCACAACCGCACCTGGGATTCGTACGAATCTGACAGGTACTTGGCGATACTTTGGGCCGTGTATCTACTTTGTACCCATGATGACCGCCTCCCACACAGACGCCGCTGCCTCGCCTAGAGCTACCTTGTCTGAGCGCCGTAGAGCCTCTCGTCCCTTCTAGCAGGATAATTCCGTTCACGTCAATTCCTCCAAGGCGTTTTTCTGAGTCGGAGCGGCGGCAGTGAGCCGCTTGCCGCGATATGCGCTCGTGTAGGTGGTGATTAGGGGAAAGCTTTGGTGTTCCTTTCTTGACTGCCTGCCAACAAGCGCCGGTTCAAGGAAGCTTGCTCGCTTGCGCTGAATAACGCTCGAGTTCCATGGCAAGGGTCATGCTCGCCAGAATGCTCATCTAACTTGGATACCTAGCCTTACCGTTCGTCGGATGATGTGCCATACCAAGGACGATGTTCCAATTTCGCCTCGCCAACACTCATCAGACTGGGTCGACATTCACAACACGATGCTCCATCGTCTGTCCGATGTATCGTCTGGACCGGCCATTCAACTGGAACCGATGCCGGATATCAGAATTCAGCAAGAAAAAAAATACACATAATGGCATTGCTTGAATGAATATTGCTGTAGAATGACATGGCCAATGTCTCGAGGTACATATGACGGAATGTTGTAGAGGAGAAGATGGATGAGCGACACCGCCGACCAGGGGTCCAGACACACTGGATGTGAAAGTGGGGGGCGGGGTCGGTGTGTCGGTGAAGATAAGCTCGGCTCCACTAAAATTTTCTCTGTCGCCGTGTCGCCCCAGCGGACTCTCCTCTTCCATCTTCCTCAGCGACCGTGATCGTCCCGACGATTTCGCTCAAACCGCCTCCTCCCAAACCCTGTCTTTCTGTCTCGAGGCAATACCTCCGAGGCAAGCAACCGAGCACGCTCGACTCAACAATTCGACCGAGTACCTCCCAAACCACCGACGAACAACCGCACCCGCGAGACCTCCGCCGCCCCTCTCACGAACAGAGCCTTCCACCACCCAAAAAACCACCCCCGGCGCAGTCCACCCTCACGCGATGGCGCAAGGCGGTCTCAAGTCCTCGGCCAGACCCGCGCCGACGGGCAAGCCCAAGCAGCAGAAGCAGAAAAACACCCAGCGGGTCGCGAAGCCCCAGAAGCAAAAAAAGGGCCTCGCCGCCGACAAGATGCAGAAGAAGTTCGCCGCCGGCCTCGTCAACCAGACGGAGAAGCTCCTCGGCGAGCGCGCCGGCCACCTCGAGCTCATCGGCAAGGGCAAGAAGGCCAAGAAGGAGGAGAAGGGTCCCAAGGGCGGCAGCCGCAAGTTCGGCTAAAGTCCCCGTCGAGATGCGATCCTTTGCGAGAGGGAAGGGAGGGAGGGAGGGAGGGGCATATACGTTGGAAGTTGGAGAAGCTTTCGCTCGGTCAAGGCTTCATTCCTGTTGAGGAATGCTCTGGCTGGGCCTACCTGGTAGTCGTGGGTGCGTGAAGGGCGCTTAGGACGGCGGAAGACAAGATAGAAGTCCGGGACTACCGACAAAGTGCTGCTCGACTGCAGCTACTCGGCCTGTCTTCTGGAAAACGAGAGTGTGGTCGACGACGAGATACCCTAATACATGAACAAATTATTTCTACTTCCAATGTGAACGCTGCTCCTTGAGCGCTACTGAACCAACGATGATTAATAACAATAATAAGGACAGAGATTAGGACGACGGCGAGGACGCATTGCCACATCGCGCAACTCACGTCGAATCAAAACACGGAGCCAAAGGCATCATATTAAAGGGGATCTCTTTATTGTCTCATTTCATCATTTTCAGAGCCCATCTAAAAGTCGTCCAACCTAGCCCATCCACCTCCCCCGTCCCGTTTATAAACGCCAATTCGACGACCATCTCGCGGACCCATCCAGGGCAAGCTGCGAAGACAACAATCGAAAAGACATGCAGTAGAATAGAAAGAAACGCCATCTGGTTCCATGTTGATATCAGAGAAAGGCAAAATGCGTCGACAAAAAACGGGGGAGCGCGGGAAGAGCTGAGGGCGAGGGAAAACGGAGAAGCATCCAAATGCGTACAAACAAACCAACGTGCACAGGTCATTAGAGTTACATTTCCCTTCCCGTGTCGTACTCCAAACATGATGAGAGTTGCGTAACTCTCAGAAGTCGTGTTCGCCGTCCACCTTGCCCTTGTTCTTCCTCTGAAAAGAAGGGGCGGGTATAATGCTCACAAACTCAATGCCATCATAAAACATGCAAAATAAGGATGCGAAGATCGCTTCCGAAAGAAGATCGCAACCGCTTGAAGGTGCTTAGACGCCTCTGAACATGCGGACAACGAGGAACCACATGGCGCCGATGAACTTGAAGGCCGAGAGACCGGCGACAGACCACAACACGACGGACATGTAGATGTTGGCGCGGCCGTTGGGGTCTTCGGTGCTGTTTGACGAGGGGCTGATACGCTCCAAGCCAGCCGCACTGAGAACGACGGCCGCAAGACCGAAGTTGGTAATCATCCAGGCCAGCACGACCACGGAACGAACACCACGGTAGTAGTCCATCTGCGCCTCTGCCTTCTGTGCTTCCGAGGGTGCCTTGACCTCCGCGACAAACTTGGTGCTGAAGACGCCGAGTTCACGCTCGTACTGAGCGTTCAAATCGGCCTCATCTGGCAGGTCGGTCTTTCCAGAGCCATCCTTGGTGCTGACAGTCGGTAGCTTCTCGGCCTTGTCGTCACCCTTGGTACCCCAGGAAATGTCGTGAGTGTTGCAGAAAGCGTAGACGTTGAGAATGTTCGTGTACGTAGGCGTCAGGAGCATATACTGCACGAACGACGTGAACATGTGCCAGGGGTCGAACATGAGCAACGAGGCGATGAACCAGATACCGTACGTCGACAAGACGGAGATGATGAGGGTGTAGAAGACTGGGTTTGTGAAGAGCTCGTTCACACTGAAGCCGGTGGAGTCGTTCACATCCTTCAAAATGGCCTTAACGGCAATGAAGACGGCTGCAAAGAGCAAGTAGCTGTGCAAACGTTAGCCGCTGTTCATGAGGAGAAGCGCAAGAGTGGACTCACATCATAATAAATGCCCAGAAGTAGACCATCGTAATGTAGTACGGCCCGGATCCCGCAGGACGATTACCCATCGACAGGACGAAACATGTGATCAGAGATATACCGTAGAGCCAAGTGAAGACAACGCCAAGGATCTCGCCTGTCCTACCAAGCAAGTCGTCGTCGCCCAGACTCGTAGTAAGAATCTTGAAAACCAGGAAGAAGTTACCGATAGCAAACCAGGCGAAGATCATGTTGATAGTGTTGAAGACAAACTCGACGAAGAACATGAGCTTGCGCAGCAGGGAGTGATCGGACCGGAAGAATTCGTAAAAGTGAGCAATGGCGTAGATGGCAGCGAAGAAGGATCCGTTCAGCCAACGACGACGCTGGAGAACCAATTCCGTGACGGTGTCTGGCACGTCAGTCTCGCCAGTAGCGGACTTGACGTACTGCAGAATCCAGTGGCAGTTGCGCTTGGTAACAAGCTCGAAGCAAAGGATACGATCTTCAGCGAGGTACATGTTTGACGTAAAGATACCAGCGCCGGCACCCTCGAGCTTCTCACCGGCAAAGTACTTCTCCAGGGGACCTTGGCCGTTCTTGTCGTTCTGGAGGGCAACGTAGCGGTAGGCGGAGAAGGCACCAGGCAAGACAGAGATGAAGCCGAAAGCGGATTCCAGGGGTTTGTCGAGAATGTTGCTCATCTTGTACTCGAAGTTCTGTGTCGCAACGAGAGGGTTGAGAAGGTGCTTTCCACCAGTTCCCAACATGGCCTTGATCTCACCGCATGCGCCTGCGCACATGGGCTCCAGGTCGAAGGCCTTCCACAAATGGTAGATGGAGTTTCCTCCTGGCTTGGTACCGGCATCGATGAGGACGCAAATGTTGGGGTCCAGAACACGGCCGAACGCCTGGAAGAACCATCTGTGGGAGTTGATCTTCTTCTGGTTCTTTTCCTTCAAGCAGAACAGCATCTGAACGGGCTGCTGCTTGGGCACCAGGGTGACGACGTCGTTCTTGATCGACATTCCGACCTGGGACGTGTACTCGTAGATATGAGCGGTAACATCCTTGCCGTTAACCTGTTGTTTCGCAATGCCCTCCTGGTACACACCCATACCGGCCAGCAGCGCTCTTGTTCGCGGGTTGATCTTGGCACGACCGTCGCTGACTACGCAGACGACAATCTTCTTCCATGCGTCCTTGCCCCAGGTCTTGCTCTCCTTCCGATTGCACATGTACTCGATGTTCTTGAGCACACCAATCATTGTCCGCGCGAACAAAATCTCGTCCTCGTTGTACATGGTAACAACGATGAACAGCTCGGTATGTCTCGGCTTGGAAAACAGCTTCTGTCTGAGTGTGAAATTGTCGTCGTAGAAGTAGTTGGGGTCGCAAGTGGCAGCGGAGTAGCGCATGTGGGTGAATTCGTCACGCTCGCCGTGAGGCAGCTGGTTAAGGAGCCTCGGAGGCACAGGGCAGTCGAGAACCAAGTTTCCACGGTACAAGAGCACCTGCTTGACCGTCTTCCATCTCTTGATACCGCCGGCGGGCTGAGGTGTAGGGGTGTCTGAATAAGGATCTGCGGGAGAGCTGTCTTGGTGACCGAGCATCGGGCGGTTGTCGTCAAACTCGCTATACGCCGTGGGCTGGTCGTAAGGCATATTCGGGTCATGGGGAGAGGGTTCGTAGGGCTGGTTGTAGTAGGCATCGTGATGGGCTTCGGGGTTCACACCGTAGTCGCCTTGGTGACTCCTTGAATCGTACCCGCTCAGGTTGTCGATTGAGTGCTAGCAAACGTAGTTAGCGCCAGCCGCTCCGAGGAAGCCTCCCAATGAGTCTCACAGCAGCGTTGAGTTGAAGGTTGTCACTGGGTGTGCCAAAACGGCCCGGAGGTGGCAGAGGGACATCAAGCTGGTTTTGCCTCGCGTAGGGGTCGTCGAGGTGCGATGCTTGAGACTGGTGATATTGGCCGTTGTTGAACGGGTTGTCCTCCAACTGGTAGCCATGTTGGACAGGCTGGCCCGGCGAGGGCGTGCGGTGGTAACGAGGGTCCATGCGATCGTTGTAGTAATCGTCGTCTATAGGAAGAGGAGGAGGTTAGGTTGGTTGTCTTGAAGCCACACGCAGAAGCGGATATTTGGATATTAAGAGAGTGAAAAGCGGGAACTTGGAGGAAGGAAGAAGACAAGAAGGTGCTTGCGCCACGCGAGTTGCGTAAGGTACTCGGAGTGTACAATGGAGAGTGGACTAGGCTTGACGAACAAGACCTTTGAGGGTATCGGTAGAGGCAAGGCAATCAGGACCAGATGATTCAACAGTGGTCGGGAGACGCAAGGCGGAAGTACTGCAGTGTACCCGGTCTTTGTGGTAGAGGGAAGGGCAGATGTGGGATGAATGACGGCAAGGGTCAATATCAAAAGGGGACCAAGTGACTTGCCTAAACGATTATACGACATGGTTGCGATGGTATGGGGGGTCAAATCAAAGGAACCAGTGTCTGATGTTTGTGGCCAGGAGCGTCTGTGGGTGGGTATCGATATGGATCAGGAAGACAGTTCGTGTCCCCGTCGGGGATGCGCGGGAGGTGTTTCTGGCGGTTGGCTGTGCTGCGGGAGTGCCGTGCTGTGCAGGACTTTGGGCCGAAGATGTCGATGTGGGTGCAGGTGGAAGTGTGGATAGGCAGGTAGACAAGGTAGAAATGTACCAAAGAGGATTGAGAAGGAGGTTTGAGTGAGAGAGAGGATGATGAGGTTGAAGGACGAGAGGGTAGGTGGTAGGTAGCAAAGGTTGGCGTCGGAGAAATTCCCCAAGGTCCCAGGTCGCGCCTCAGTCGCAGATTTGGCGCCGCAGTCGTCGGATGGGGACCAGCTGTCGGTCTTTTGGGGCTCGGCAAAGATTCAACTTCAGCTGATGCGCAGGCGGGATAGGGAATAAGGAAGCCCCTATTTCCTTTGCGTCTCTTTCTTTTTTGGCTTCTGGCTCGTGGTTGTTCCCCTCCTTCTGTGAGGGTGTGTCGTGGTACCGTACTCAGCGCAAAGCAAAGGGCAGAGCACCGAGCTAGGTAATCAAACAAGGAGGTGACCTTGAGAGAGAGGTGTGGATGTGGAAGGTCAAGGTGCGGTATGGCCGGGTCGGTGCTCAACTCAATGCGCCTGACGGGTTTCGGGGTGACGGGAAGGGAAGGGAAGGGGGCGAGACACTGGACCTGAGAAGAAGGGATGTGTTCGGTCGAAGGTGGGAGGGAGAGACCTGAGGAAAATGCGAAAATGCTGGGTAGGGGCGGTTTTTTTGGGTTTCAAGGTGATTGAGCCGTATGAGACTGTCTGCAGGCGAGTGGACGAGTTGGGAGGAGGGGACTGCGACGACCGGGGATGCAAGAAGGAACAAACAGGGGTTTGCTGGTTGTTGTGACGACTTCCCTCCCGGCAGTACAGAGTAAGGTACTTCAGTACCATAGTGAGGTACTCAGGTCATCAGTCTTGGGAGCTGCTTGCTTCCTTCTTTTCTCACGTTTATTTTCTTTCTTACTGTTCCTACCGAAACGGTCTACGTTATCCCTCAACTAAGCCAGCAAGCCAGTCAGAAATGGAGGATGCGCCGTTGGGCTGGCGCTACATAGCACGCAAAATAAAAACCACCATTTATCGTGTTTCAGGCCCGGGAGTGTGGCTGGCGCACATTTGAATGCTGACTATAGGAATACGTACCTGGCATCCCAAGGTAAGGAAGTTGGGAAGGTACTTAGGTAACCTTGACAGTCCTGCCTCAAAATGTTGATAACGGGAAATACCAATGAAGCTCCTCACAATACCGCCGCCTATCGCTTCTCTGTTGGATACACTCAAAATAAAAAGCATGTCCATCAACATTGACTTCTGTCGGGCAGGTGACGTCGCTGGGGGGGGCCCTCATGGTGGGCGGCCTGGTCAGGGTCTCCAGAAAGAACCGCGGATGCCAGTGCTTGAGTGCTTGTGACGGGCTTAGCGGGGAGGGTTTTGGAGTGTTGGAGGGGCGCAATCGCAACCTGAGGAAAAAAAAAAAAGAGGACGGGCCACGATTGGGTCTTTGCTGGTTGGTCGGCATTGGCGACCAACGCGATTGTCTGTCTGTCTCACTGTTTTCTCTCTGTCTGGCCATATCGTGGTCTGGCTACTACTGCAGCTTCGGTGTCTGTGTTGTGTTGTCAAGTCTGTTCCATTTGTCTCTTTGTGCCGGCTGTCCGTTGACACCAAGTCTGTCCGCCAAACCCGTCCGCTGCCAGACCAGCGTGACAGCAATGACAGCAGCGACCTCCGAGAATGACGAAATCCCGGCAGTCCGTCTGTCTCGTCCGAAATCCAAGGATATCCGATACAACTCACTCACACAACCCCCAAATCTTTAGAAATCCTGCAATAAATCTTGGAGGTCTCCCATTCCACTCGTCAGCAAATCCGCAAGGTACCCGCGCAGCCGCGACGATCCACGAGCAGTTCCAAGCAATCAGCAAAGTGCCGCAACAGCCGTTCGTTGCCTATTCGATTGTTCGCGTTCCCGTGGTTGCATGTTGCTGCTGGGATCCGTTGTTTAATTGACCAGGAGGGAGGGTCATTGACAGGGTAACCGGCGCTTTCCACTGAAGGAACAGGGGAAAGATGGCGATACGTATCGCAGAGACAGCCACTGGGCTTGCATCTTGCGGAGGCTTGACTTTTGCGTGTGTCCCCAAAAATAAAATTAAGAGAACAAAATCAAGATAAAGAAGATACGTACCTACCCGACCTACCTGTGTCTGACGCCACACTTGCTCCCAGGTGACGACGCCTCTGAGCCCCCCGCACACTGGCACTTTCCCCACATCGCCCACCTTGCTCAGCCTCGCTCGCACTCAGTCTCACCACAACACTAACGGACAGCTCCCATACGCGGATTTTGACCTCACGTCAACCTGGAAGTCGTCCGGGGAAGCCTTCTCACCGAAAAGGATTGGCCACCACACCGGGACCTCTCCCCGCCGTTGGGGCTGAATCGCCTCAGAACCCCTCCAAAACCTGCTGCGCCCAGCATCACCATCTGTTCCCGTCGCCATCCCGCGGCCTTCGCCTCCCCGCGTTCGACCATTCAGCAGACTTTCTCCCCAAAACCGATATCATTTTCATCGGCTTCAGTTTCGCCCTTCCCGCCACGGCCCGGCCGTCGCTTGTTCCTGAGAGAAATGCATCAAACTACTGGGAACAGCATCGCATCTCTCCAATATCAACGATATGCTTGTTCGCCATCATCGTCATTCCCGAGGCATCCAACCGACCCTTGCTCTGCGTATGATCGTCACATGATAACGCTGCCAAGGGCCTCCCCAAGCGAGGGTGGCGGCCTGCCCGGAGAGGACAGCCTGACTTCCCGTCAATGACGATTAATCCGATGTTTGACCTCTCGCGATGATCAAACTCAAAATAATCCGAACTTTGCAGCACACCACAACCGACGGGAGAAATCCAGACCGGCCGCTGGGCGGGCATGCTTCTGGTTGCCAGTCCCCCGTAAAACCTTCCCATCCGTACCAGCGTCTCCCAGCTGTCGGCTTTTTTGGCCTCAGCTTCATTTGAGTTTGCGCGGGCCAGCCCGAGGTTAAGAACAGAAGAAATTCGTGGCTATCGCGCGGTTAAAGAAAAGTATCGCGATGGCTGTTGGCCAAGAGCGTCGTTCTTCGTCGCGATGCAGCCAAGTTTTGTTCGTCTGTTGATTTCCAGTATAATGTCTGCTTGGCAGGGCTGAGCTGCGAAAAGCAGTCTGATGAAGAGTCATAAATAGCAGCTTGTGTCGAGTAGAGTGAAGCTCTGGCAAACTGAGTCAAGCGCCGTTGACCTCATCCCGGTATGGCAGAACAGCAAATCCACGAACCACGCATGGCAGTGACAACACACCACTGAAGTTGAGCATCGTACCTTTGTGCGAACCGACCTTACCTGCGGAGCGGTACGCGACCCTGATGGCGCACCGTTGAAAGTAGAAACTCTACTCCTACGGAGATAGAGATTGGCCAACAGCCAAAATGCGCTCTTTTGTGAGCACGATGTGACATGTTGCTCTGTGACGCCGTTGTTGCCGACCTCACAGTGTTGAGCCAAACATCACGAAAATGGAATCTTCAAACCAATCTCCCGGCATCAGGACCCGGATTCTGATCATATCAGACACCCACGGCGCCGACTCCCTCCCAGGATCCAAACCCCTCCCCCCAGTCGACGTCGCAATCCACTGCGGCGACCTGACCGAGGAGTCCAAACTAGCAGAGTACCAAGCGACCATAAACCTAATGAACAAAATCACGGCGCCCCTCAAGATCGTCATCGCAGGAAACCACGACTTCACCCTCGACACCCCCGTCTTCCGCCGCAAAATCGCAGAAATCCCGCCCCCGGTCGACACGGCCGTCCTCCACAGAGAATACGGCGCCCCCTCCCAGGCCCGCCAACTCCTCCTCGACGCCGCCGCGCAGCACAACATCACGTTCCTCGACCGGGAAGGCACCCACCGCTTCGTCCTCCCCTCCAACAACGCCCGTCTCACCCTCTACGCGAGCCCCTTCACGCCGGGCGCCGAGGACTGGGCCTTCCAGTACGACCGCGCCGACGGGCACGCGTGGGATTTGACGCAGGACGTGGACGTCGTCGTCACCCACGGCCCGCCGCGGGGGATCTTCGACCGCACCGCCTCCGCGGAACGCATCGGGTGCGCCGGGCTCTTCGCCGCGGTCAGCCGGGCCAGGCCGCGCCTGCACTGCTTCGGCCACGTCCACCGGGGCTGGGGCGCGAGGGTAGTGCGCTGGCGGCGCAGCAGGGCCGCGTCAGACGCTGCTGCTGCGGACGCCTCCTCCTCCCCTTCGGCAGCGGCGGCGCCGGCCGCCGCGGATCACTTCACGGACATCGACCACGAGCGGAGCGTCGTCGTCGAGGACTTGGCGAGGTTGAGCGCGGGGCGGTACGATTCGCCCGAGGTTGTCCGGGAGAAGGAAGCCAAGAGGCGCGCGGGTTTCGAGAGGGGTTACGCGTCGACCTCGCACTGCGCCGGCGACGAGCGTCCGCTGAGGGCCGGCGAGGAGACGTTGTTCGTGAACGCCGCCATCAAGGGCGACGACGGCGACGGCGACCAACACCTATCGTGGATCGTCGACATCGAGCTTCCGGAGGCTTGAATGCGTTTGTGGTGTGGCGCAAACGGGATGGGACGGTCCATGTCCGGGGAAAAAAAGGACGCCAAGCTTAACGCAAGGATTCGGGCATGGATGATGGCAAGAGGGTTTGCGGATTCCCTCGAATCGGAGGACATTGGAAGGAAGAAAAAAAAGCGTTTCAAACTGGCGAAATTAAAAAGGGGAGAGAGTGGTGTTTGGGGCCGGTCCACTGCAATCACGCGGGACAAACGCGGGAGGGGAAAAGAGCCTAGCGGTTTAGAGTCTGCGCCGATATCACGATCATCAAACTTGACACACGGCCTAAGATTGAGTGGAAGGTGCAATCTGGCCTTGTAATCAAAGTCGGAGAAGGAAAGTAAGCATTTGCTAGGCAGGCACGTGGCAGGCAGCAGATGAACCCTTCCTCAAGGCCACGCAATAGAAACGATCCATGTACTCAAACGACACAAATGAGAGAGAAAGACGTTTGGCGATGTCTTGGGAAAAGCTCATTTCAAGGTCAAACGTTCCGAGGTGGATTCATTCATGCGCGCGGGCCACAGGGTCTCGCAGCGCTACCAGGGGCCGCCGCCGCGGTCCCTCTTACCTTATCTGCCCTAAGACGTCTTGAGATCGATGCCTCTGCATGATCTCCGTCCGGGGTCGCGCTGCTGTCCCACCCTCATTTATGAAGAATGATTGAGGCTTGCGAGGTGGAGAGATTCACAATGCTTCATTATTTTAATGTGTACACTACTCCTATGGTTCCTAGTTGAATACCTAGGTAGTAACAACGATCATAGGTACTAGCAGCGAGGACGATGCCAGAGCTACTAATAACAAGGGGCAATGACAGAGGTAGAGAGGAGTAGTTGCAAGGGAAATAACCGTGGGAGATTGTACGTTTGCAATTTGACGGTTCAAATCAACGCTTGTTCAAACAGAAGGTGATATGCCCCTTTTCCCAGCGAGTGAAGTAACTACTCCTCGTCGAAGGTGCCTACCATCAGCAGAAAGGGTTTCATATGACGACCCGGGAGATTTCAAGAGCGATGATTGGGCTGGTAGAGATGAAGCCGCTCATATGCGTTCTCAGAATGACAAGTGTCAGGTTTCCTATTGCTCATGAACCCTCTGTGTCAGAGGGACTCTGCCCGACGACTAGCTGGATGCCTTACTTGCACCACGATCGCAGACTCGCGAGTACGCTATATACCTCCAAAGAAGACTTCGTTGAGATAAACATCCTGTCCTCATCTTCATCTCATACTAGAGAATCCTCTATGCTTGAACACTACACGACCGTGAAGGTGTGGCATTGAGGAGTTGCCTGGTTGACCAGATCTGTGGGAATCTCGATCCTGGTCCCAGCCGCCGCTTATAAGTCCTGTTTTCATGGCCGAGGGTGTTCTTGGTGTCTAGGTGAAAACAAACTTGGCCACGGCCGCAGAGATCACAGAAAGTCTTATCTGGATCTAGCGGCCACGCCATGAAATCCTCATTGAATTAAGTTTGGGGGCAGCTAGTGCTTCGTGATAGCGTTGAAATTATTGAAACGAATGGCCGGATGAGGTGAGAAGAAACCGGAATATGAAGCTATTCTGCGCAGTGAGATGCTACGCTTGATGCCGAGTAGTCATCCTAGCTTCGTCAGCGAGTAGAACAGCGGATCTTTTGCTGCTCGAGAAGTAGATTGAAATGATAGCACCCTCAAGATGTTCCGAAACTTCTCTTTTGAGAGCAGTGATTGAAGTCAGTACGGCGGTCTAAGTTGAGTTCTGTGGAGATGCCCCCTTTTCCGACTATGAGTTGCGATGTCAAGACGTCTTGTCGGAAGCGGATGAAGGAAGTCATCTAACTTTGGCTGCTGTTAACCTTCTCTGTATGTCACTCTCAGACCATGGGTCAACAATAAGGTGAAAACCGAGACAGCGTCGTTGGTTCATCCGTCTAGGCGAGCCGTACGTGAGACTAGGTCATTCATGACCTCGTATCATGGCTCCTCGATCAACACTTTATGCATGATAAGACCATAAGACCATCCCCCCTGAAATCCCTGACTTGAGAAGTCTTTTGGTCAGTGATGTGGCTAATTATATAGTCGCAAGATGGTCCCTGCTGCAAGTATAAGTCGCGACCTCTCGTCGAAGTACGACTGGCCTCGTATAAACGGCTAAACACAGCCATAGTTAAGGCGGTGAGCTACATGAAGATGGTGTGATTCAATATCGAGCCAAGAAGCAGCGTCCGTAAAGTCGATCCAACGCTGCGTCCGTTCATATCAGATGCCTGTTCACAACACTGGACGCAACAGGAAGAACCAGCGGTATCGCCAGCATTCTTACGAGCATACCAGAGTGACGTTGGACGACAGAAGGACCAGCGAATGGGCAGTTCTGGATTCCGACGTGCTTTGCGTCTGGTGCCTCGCACCGGACTAATATAGCGACAGAACTGTGTGTGACTTCGGTCTAGATCTCAGAAAAAGCAGCCTAGAGAACGTAATCGCCCCGTGCCAACCTCGCAAGTATGAACAGTACTTATTATAGTATCATCGCAGAGAATTACAGTTGCATCACCTCATAGACGGCATTGCTTTGATGTAAGAAGGCAAATCAAGGCCTTATGGTGGACTTCTCCTGTATGAGTATCAGGGAAATGTAAGTTAACCTGTAAACATACTGCAAATAAGAAATGCATGAGAACAGGTTCAGATTTGGAGGAGTATGCATAAAAGTTCAGTAAAGGGGTCCGAATCTGGCCAGATCTAAGTGAAATCTGGTCGAAAAATGTTTCTGGGCTTGACTTGATGCCATTATTTAAACACCTTGAACTTGTGATACGTCATGTTTCTGATCATTCATTTGAATAGTAGTATCATTACGAGAGAACCTCTTGGGAGACGCGGTGCACGTGTATGTACTATACCAGGAGCTCAGCTCCTTCAGCTCAGGTTTAATCACAATATGAATTGAGCCTTACTTAATGCTTTCTACGTCTGAGGACGTTCGAAAACTTTGGTTTGTATTCCTCAAAGTGTCAGCAACTCCTTAAGCGCACGCAAAAGTTGTGAACCTCAACAACACCGACACCCTCTCCTACGTAATGCTCTGATACACATACGACTTACGGTTTTGGTTTCGGAACGTATGAAAATGGACTCTAAACTTAAAAGCACCATGTTTGAAAAGCTTGACGCCGACTGACAGCTAATAGCTCTTATTCCTCTGGCGCTCCTTTTGCGCGCGCTGGCGCCGTTGTTGCCGTCACTGCCGTCACTCTCGCCGCCGTACACCGACTAGTATGCCCACATACGCCGTAGCCCAATGTAATAAGCCGCCGCAATACGTCGTCCACCGCGACCGTACGTCGACGTGCCCGGTAGACGGGAGCCCTCCTTTAGTTACGCTGGGGAGTCTCATCCTAGGGTGCTCGTAGATCAAGTGTCTCGAACAGGGGTACTGTGATCTTGAGCACTTCAACTTCCCCAAAGGAACATGAGAGTTCCAGTACTTAATTTGGTCCCAGAAAACAGCAAGCGCAGACCGTGTTTGTGCGGAAGCGTCGTACCTTCGAAGGGAGCTCTCATCAAACCACACCGTTAAGCAATGCTTCACTGCTAGCAATGCCGAGCTGGACGGGCAGTTCAGCTTTCCGATCACCGGAATGCATTACACGCACAAGACAACTGAAATTGACAAACTTCATCATAGGGAACTCAAGCTATCAGCCGCAATCCCATATCATCGCGGTTTGGTATCCCATCCTCAATCTCATCACACTATCGTACATCTCGCAGTCCATTACTGGGAAGAACAACGCAACTAAAAGCAAGTGAAATTACAACTTTTCGTCAACGACTCCTTCAAACGTCCTCACTTCAAGAACAAGTCAGATTTCACTCTGAATCTTCGTCACTCGTGGCCTCGATGTTGGCCTTCTTGGACTTGTCGTCCTTGGCAGCGGGTTTCGAGGTCTCCTCTGCGACGGGAGAGCCATTGCCCTGCTGGACCTCCTTGACTTCGTGACCCATCTCGCGCAGCTTCGCATTGATAGCAGGAACAGCTTTGAGAAGGGTCTCATACTGGGCAATGGAAAGGGAGATACCCTAGTCGGTGCGTCAGTAACAATCACGTTTGCGCTTTCGATCGCGCGAGGATAATAATCAACGCACCTTCTTGCCAGGCAGCATGTTGCCATCCTTTTCGTAGTACTCACGAATGTTGACGAAGGTCGACTTGTTGAATTCCGAAATGCCGACGCGGCGCTTGTTGGAGAGCTGGAGGGTGTTAGTGCATCTGGAGCGCGCAAACAGGCCGCTGACGCATGTCGTTGACATTGAGGGGCGACGTACATCCCAGAAGGGGTTGCCATCCTTGTCAACACCATCTTTGTCTCCATCGGCAGATTTGGAGGTCTTTGTCTTCTTGGTGGGCTTGGTGACGACTTCGTCCTCCTCGGACTCGGCCTCGCGCTTCGCGCTTCGCTTGGTACCCTTGGTGAACGGCATGACGAGATAGAGAGAGTAAGGAGCGCGAATGGGTGTGATTTGGATGATTGATTATGTGAGAAGGTGCGATGACGCAAGACTGAAGGAGAGTCACGAAGAGAAAGAGGTATGAAGTCGCATCAAGATACGGAAGTCACGACAGGCGCGTTGCATTCAGCGAGCCCGTAAAGTGGTCCATCGCGGTTTCCGCGAATGACGTCTAGACCCCACAAACGCCAGAGCATGTGATAGCGCACGTGATACCTGACTTTGTATTATGTAATACACTGAAGTGCGACCTTTCGTTGGAAGGGAGGTGCGTTGGCGATGGCAAGGATCACGGCTGCACCAACATGGGAAATGATTCAATGTGACCCTACATGCAAAACTGCATGCACTGCAATGAAGCTAATGACAGAAATTTTGATCCCGTCTTTTGCTCGCTGCAAGGGACATGCATCTTTTCATTCCACGTCGGCCGCTCACGAGGCGGCCCCTGACCCAGAGACGTCCTTCGTCGAATGCTTGAGATCTGTTTCAACCCCAAATTCCTTCCAGCTTCGCCCTCTCGATTCTCCGGGTTTTCTCCTATCTTTTCGTGATCTTCTCGTCCGGGGAAGAATACTCGGTATCCCCGTTTTGTTTGCTATCCCAACAGATCACAGTCCATCAGAACCAGAATTAATTAAGAGGTGGAATCAGAGTGGAAAGACACTGCCCAGAAAACCACGATTGAACGGGGATTTTTTTCTTGCCGGCTGCTCGGCTGCAGGGGTGAGGTCGCTAAAATTAGGAGCTTCTGGACCGCTGTCCGTCGCTGAGCCAGAACTGTGGACAGTGGGTTGCAGTGGGCTCGCGAGCGAATATGCCCTTTCTGGTTGGTGCTAATCTGCCATCGAACCCCACTGGCGACAACGGCCCTGCTTCGACGTCAACAAACTGGAAGCTCTCCAATCCCATTTCGCGCTTAGGCCCCCTAAAACGAGATCTGATTCTTGGAGACGCTGACAACCAGCACAGCTCTCTTAATAACACGGGCTCGAGGTCACACACGCCTCTTTTTCCTCTGCTAATATTTTGAAACACTCACACTGCCACGAAACCTCACTCCTCCTAGTGGCTGACTTGCAGAAGAAGGTAGCCAACCTGTCCTCTTTTGAGCTTGCGCCTGCAGCTTCACCGTCCGACTTCTGCAAGCTGCCAATTGCTCTGGCTTTTTTTTTCCCAACCACCCAACTGGTAGCTCGTCTCCTGTCCTGGCTGCTCGACTCGCTCAATGCACGCTTTGCCTTTCGACTCTAGCATCAGGGATGTGAGACGATAGGGCCACAACGGAATCAATAGATCGACCAACTAAGCAAACATGGACTCGACTCCGGCTGCCGAAGTCCACCCACCTGGCGCAACTTCCGTCACCGAGAAGAGCCACCCGCCTGCCGAGCCAACAACAACATCCACTTCACCTGCCATCGAGAAACCTGTGATCCAAGAACCAGCTACCGAAGAAAAGTCCGCGACCACCGCTGATCCGTCTGCAACAATTGCGCAAGTAGCGAGCACGCCGGCGTCAGCTCCGCCCAAGCCGGAGGACGAAGACGATACGGTGACGAAGGTCCTCAGGTTTCTCTCTACCGCGACGCCAGAAACCCTCGGCGCCATCGCAGTCGGCCTGGCCGCTTCGACTTACTTCGTCCTTGGAAAGGTTGGACTTGTGCTTATCGGCGCATTTGGCGGCGTTGTAACCTTCATTGCATATGAAGCCCGCCATCCAGAGGTCGGCCGGGCCGTCCGGGGCGAGAAGGGTATCGATGTGCTCGAGCGCCTGTCCATCACCAGGATCGCCGAACCGCCCAAAAACGACGATGAGGAGGAGGACAGACTGATCCATGGCTTCGACGATTTCCAGCCAGAGACGCGCGAGGCGCTGACTGGCCTGGTAGACGCCATCATCCGCGACTACGTCAAGTGGTGGTACTCACCTATCCTTCCCTCCGACCGCTCGTTCCCGTTATCCTGCCGGAAGCTCCTCAACTCCTTCCTCCTCTCCGTCTCGAACCACCTTTACCGCAAGCGACCCGCCGACTCGTTCCTCGACTTCATGACCAACGCTTCGTCCATGTTCATCGTATTTCTGTCCGAGCTGTCTTCCGCCTTTACCGAACAAAGTAACGAACCCGGCGCGTCCGCTCCCGAGGTCATCTCCAAGTATCTCGAGGAGAACCCGAACTCGAGCCTGGCCAACCTCATCAGCCACCCGCAACAAGCCGCCAAGTTCCGCAATGTTGCAGATGACCTCCTCGGATACCTCGACCGCACAGCTTACAATTGCGACCCTGCACGGGTCTTTCTGCGAGAAATCTTGGCGGGCGTGATACTGGAGATGACTCTGCAGTCATGCTCCAAGCCGGAGTGGATCAACGGCTGGATCGTCTACCTACTGGAAGCGGGCGAGCCCGACTTCAGTCAAGCGATCGACGTTGGAATGCAGACTGGCCCCGACGCCGCTGCGAAGGAAACGAATGCTGCCGCCAACAACGCCTTCGTCGACATTGACGGAAACCTCGGCAACATCGCTTTGACCAAAGGAAACCGAAGCTCCCTCGATATGGAGAGAGCACGTCGCAAGGAGTCTTCGTCTCACAAGAAGCAGCTTAGCATGGCAGATGAAGAGATGGAGGCTATTGAGGAGATGAAGCGCATGAATGCATTGATTGCAGAGGAGGAGTCTAAGAGACAGTCCCGCCAGAGCATCGGCGCGACGCCCGAGACTGTTGTGCAGATTCCGGGTGGCAAGATCGTCCATTCGCCGGGAGAATTGTCACCAAGGTCTGAGAAGCCATCCACACATGCGTCGAATGGCTCGAACGGGTCCAACAAGGACGGCAGTCTGCACTCGCCCATCACCCCCAAATCCAGCGTGGAGCCGACCAGCCGAAACCACTCGCCCAAGCATGCCGCCAGCAGCAGCACGGCGTCCCAATCTCAATTCCTGAGTTTCGACCAGATCGTACCTCCCGGCAAAGAGGATCCGGACTCGTCGGATGAAGGCCCTCGCAAACCGCCCTTGACACTGCACAACGCCAACATCATCCTCCACGACGACGCCCCTAACGACAGCAGTCGGATTCGGAGCAAGCCCACTTGGGACTATCTGGTTCAGATTGAGCCAGCTTCGCATCACTACTCGGGCTGGATGATTGTCAGGCGCTACGCTGACTTTGAGACTCTGCATGAGATCATCAGAAGAATCGCTACAATTACAGGCGCAACGGCATTTACAGAACAGCATGCGGAGCTTCCTAACTGGAAATCCCATACCAGAGCCTCACTGCGTGGAGAGTTAGAGCGCTATGTAAAAGACGCTTGCTGGTACCAATCTCTTGCTGAGAGCGAGGGTATGAAGCGCTTCTTGGAGAAGGAGAATGGACTTGGGCACGGTCACAGCAACTCAAAGTCTGGTTTGGCCTGGGATACTGTTGGCAAGAATATGTTGGACGTCCTGACCATGGGCCCCAAGGGTGTCGCAGAGGGAGGCAAGGCTGTCTTTGGTGGCGTGACTGGTGTGTTCAGCAACATTGGTCTTGGCGCGAGAAAGAATACTGCATCCTCTTTGTCAGACATTCAGACGAGCCAGATTCAGACAAACAACCGATGGTCAACAGGCACGCCGCCCAGGATGGACAGCACCACCAGTCTGAACGCAGCCCTGGCATCACCCGTTGGAAGCGGACCTAGGAAGCCCAGAGACAGTCTTGACAGCCAAAGATCCTCAATTGTGTCAACACAACCTGGCAAGGTCGCCCCTATGGAGAGGAGGCCCAGCTTCGACCCCAGAGGCGATTCTGAGGCAGACAGCCTGAAGCCTCGGTCCGACCGTTGGGAGAGGAATACGCCGAGCGCCACGGGTAGTCGCGAACATAGTAGAGCTTCTAGCCTGGCACCTCTGCAATCTCCTCCTCTGCGATCGCCATCTTCGACAAGCCTGGATGTCATGCACATTCAGCACCTGCCTCCGCCGCCCGATGAGATGCCTGAAGATTGGGAGTCACCTACTCAGGGCGACATGCAGTCCAAGATGAACGAGGCTACCCAACCTCGCAATAGCACTGGGGCTGCTTCACCTGGCTCGCAGACCAAGAAGGAGTCCAAGCCCGCCAGGCAGCACTCTCCCTTGTCAGAGCAGGAAGCAAACGTGGCTGTAGAGCTGGTCTTCGCCATTATTAATGAGATGTACACGCTTTCATCCGCGTGGAACATTCGCAGAACGCTCTTGGCGGCTGCGAAGTCGTTCCTACTACGGCCCGGAAACCCATCCCTGCTTTCCATCCAGAAGATGATGCAGGAGTCGGTCATCGACGCCAACACGAACGACACTGGACTCGGCTACCACCTGCGCAAGCTGCGGGAGAACACGATGCCGACGGACGAAGAGCGGGCGGCATGGCCCGCCGAAATGACGGATGAAGAGAAGGATAAGCTGCGCGTCAAGGCGCGCAACCTGTTGATTAAACGCGGTGTTCCGGCTGCTTTGACTGGCGTTATGGGACAGGCGGCCACGACGGACGCCCTGGGGCGCATCTTCGACAGCCTCCAGATTGAGGAGGTGGCGCGCGGCCTGATGTTTGGCATGATGCATCAGGCCGTCAGAGTCGTGACCCATTAATAGTACTGCGCGGGTGCGCCGGGCGCAAGGGGCATTTTCTGTATCAACAGCACACGGAAGCGACAAGCGATTCGGACGCATTGTAAGATTAGACGACATTCTGAAAAAAGATCATGGGAAACGAAACCGCTGGGCAACCTGGCAGGATCGGGGACGAGAACAAGACTATATATACATACTTAATAATTGACGGACATATCACATGGAAATGCAGACACTTGAGCATCATTCTTAACGCGACGACTATATAAGACTGAGGCTTAGCCATTATTTCAATGAAATGTAATTCTATGCAATTTCCGTCCTCGCTGAAGCACTTAACCTCAGCACGTCAACCTGCTTCCTTGAGCTGCTTTATATGAGTAAGAGTAAGCATTGCTATCGCTTCAGTTGATGGAAGTAACTTGGCAGTGGTATTAGGTTGTCGGCACCACCCGTACATCATTTTCAGATGAACCAACCTCAACACCTTTCTTCACGATGACAAAGTGGCGAGTCACCCTTTCATCCAGTGGAGCTCCACGACATCCGGCTCAACAGCGCCGTTATCAGTGGATGAAGCCCCCCGGAAGCGTGGAATTGCGTAGGGCGGGGTAGTTCACGCTAGAGGTGGGGTGCGGAGCTCTCAAGCTCCCCCGCCTTATCTTATCGTCCGTCAACGCCCTCCTCCGGCTTCTGTGATGCCACCATTTGTCATCGACTCCGTCTCCGATTAACGGCATTATATTCCGCGGGTATTGCAATTGCTACCTACCATAGCCGAGTTGCATCTAGAGATTCTTTCTAAAAAAAAAGTAGCAAATGACAAGCAGAGAGCGTTGAGCATCTAAATCATATTCCACATCCTCGAACCTAGAACCTCGAGACCCGCATCACGACATCACGACCTACCTGCCATCATGGCCACAGACACCCAAGACCGCGGCATCCGCATCGCGATCGACCGAGGCGGCACCTTCACAGACTGCGTCGGCGAGCTCGCCGGCCGCGAGACAATCATCAAGCTCCTCTCCGAAGACCCCGCAAACTACGATGATGCGCCCCTCGAGGGCATCCGTCGCATCATGTCGCACTTCCTCGACCGCGAGATCCCCCGCGGCGAGCCCCTCGACACGACCAAGATCGACTCCATCCGCATGGGCACCACCGTCGCGACAAACGCCCTCCTCGAGCGCAAGGGCGAGAAGATCGCCATGGTCGTGACCAAGGGCTTCCGCGATTGTCTGGCCATCGGCAACCAGAGCCGGCCGAAGATCTTCGACTTGGCCATCCGCAAGCCGGATGTGTTGTACGAGAGGGTCGTCGAGGTCGACGAGAGGGTCACGTTGGAGGATTACGCGGAGGACCCTACGAGGTCGGTGACGGAGGTCAAGGTCAAGGCGGGGACGGCGGAGGCTGCGACGGAGGAGTTGGTACAAGGGACGAGCGGCGAGGCTGTGAGGATTCTGCGGCGGCCTGGGGAGGATGGTATTAGCAAGCAGTTGCAGGAGGTGTACGACGAGGGTATAAGGAGCGTCGCCGTTTGCTTGATGCACGGATACACATTCCCTGACCACGAAGCGCTGGTAGGGAAGATTGCAAAGGACATTGGGTTCAAGCATATATCGCTCAGCCATGAGCTGATGCCGATGATCAAGCTGGTATCGAGAGCGACGTCCGTGTGTGCCGATGCGTACCTCACGCCCGCGATCAAAAAGTACATCTCTGGCTTCCAGGCCGGCTTCGAGGGTGGGCTGGGGACGAGGAGCGTCCAGAACGAAGAGGGCGCGAAAGGTGCCAGGTGCGAATTCATGCAGAGCGACGGTGGGCTCGTCGATGTGGAGAACTTCACCGGTCTCAAGGCCATCTTGTCCGGACCGGCCGGCGGTGTCGTCGGCTACGCCATCACCTCTTACGACGAGGAGACCAAGGTTCCCGTGATCGGCTTCGACATGGGCGGCACGAGCACGGACGTCTCGAGATTCGGAGAGGGGAGGTACGAGCACGTGTTCGAGACGACCACCGCCGGCGTGACTATCCAGTCGCCGCAGCTGGACATCAACACGGTTGCCGCGGGAGGCGGGTCGATGCTGTTCTGGAAGAACGGCCTCTTCGTGGTCGGGCCGGAGTCGGCGGGCGCGCATCCCGGCCCGGCCTGCTACCGAAAAGGAGGTCCGGCTACCGTGACGGACGCGAATCTCTATCTCGGTCGCCTGCTGCCGGAGTTCTTCCCCAAGATCTTTGGCGAGAACGAGGACCAGGGACTTGACCCAGAGGCGAGCCGGAAGGTCTTGCAAGAGCTCGCGGACCAGGTCAACAAGGAGACCGGGAAGAACATGAGTGTCGACGAGGTCGCGTACGGCTTTCTGACCGTGGCGAACGAGACCATGACCCGACCCATCAGGTCCATCACGGAAGCCAAGGGCCACGATTCGTCAAAGCACCGTCTTGCGACCTTTGGCGGCGCCGGAGGCCAGCATGCCGTCGCCATTGCGGAAGCGCTGGGCATCCAGCAGATTCTCATCCATAGATACTCATCCGTTTTATCGGCGTACGGCATGGCACTAGCCGATGTCGTCGATGAGAGGCAGGAGCCCGACTCCAAGGTGTGGGAGTATCCCGGCAAAGCGACCGACGAGCTCAAGAGTAAGATGGAGAAGCTCAAGGAGAAGTCGCGCGACGCGCTGCACGCCCAGGGCTTTGAGGACAAGGAGATCGTGTTCGAGGAGTATCTCAACATGCGCTACCGAGGCACGGAGTCGGCCTTGATGATCGTCAAGCCGGACCAGGGTGAGGATGTCAAGGAGTGGGACTTCGGAACCGCGTTCATTCAGCAGCATCGCTACGAGTTCGGCTTTACGCTGGATGATCGCGACATCATTGTTGATGACGTACGTGTTCGTGGTATTGGCAAGAGCTTCCGGCACTCGGAGAAGACGGTCGATCAGCAGTTGAAGGAACTGAAGAAGAAGGATGTGGACTCGAGTAAGGCACACAGCCACCAGAAGGTGTACTTTGAGGAGGGCAGGCTCGACAACCCTGTGTACAAGTTGGAGAACCTGAGCACGGGTGAGACGATAAAGGGGCCTGCGATGCTGGCGGATGGAACGCAGACTATTGTGGTCACGCCGAAGGCCACTGCGTTGATTCTTGATACCCATGTCGTTATTGATATTGAAAAGGAGGGATCAAAGGATGAAGGGTACGTAAGCAAACTTGATTACACCAGAATTTCACCACTGACAATTTTGATAGAGCAAGCAAGAAAGAAGGAGAACGCGATGTCGACCCCATCATGCTGAGCATCTTCGGCCACAGATTCATGGCTATTGCGGAACAGATGGGCAGAGCGCTCCAGAAGACCAGCGTGAGCACCAACGTCAAAGAACGGCTCGACTTCTCCTGCGCCATCTTCGACGCCAACGGAGGCCTCGTGGCCAACGCGCCGCATCTGCCAGTGCACTTGGGCTCCATGTCTACCTGCGTCAAGCGACAGGCCGAGATCTGGAAGGGCGACCTCAAGAAAGGAGACGTCATCATATCGAACCACCCGTCGTACGGCGGTACCCACCTACCGGACATCACCCTCGTCATGCCCGCCTTCAACGAAAAGGGGGACAAGATCCTCTTCTACGCCGCCTCGAGAGCGCACCACGCAGATATCGGCGGCATCACGGCCGGCAGCATGCCGCCTCATTCCAAGGAGCTCTTCCAGGAAGGCGCCGCAATCAAGAGCGAGAAGCTCGTCAGCGAAGGCCGCTTTGACGAGAAGCGCGTCACTGAGCTTCTGTACAACGAACCGGCGCAGTATCCCGGATGCAGCGGTACGCGCTGCTTGGCTGACAACATCAACGACCTCAGGGCCCAGGTGTCTGCCAACCAGAAGGGTATTGCGTTGATTGAAGGATTGATCGAGGAGTATGGAGAGGAGACTGTGCAGTTCTACATGGTCAACATCCAGAACAACGCCGAGCTTTGCGTTCGCAACTTGTTGAAGCAGGTGAGCAAGCGCTTCGAGGGCAAAGACCTTCAAGCGGTGGATTTCATGGATGATGGCAGCCCGATCCGCCTCAAGGTCACGATAGACGCTGAGAAGGGCGAGGCCGTCTTCGACTTTGAGGGGACCGGGCCCGAGGTGTATGGCAACGTCAACGCTCCCGAGGCGGTCACGTACAGCGCCATCATCTACTGCCTCAGATGCCTCATCTCGGAAGACATTCCCCTGAACCAAGGCTGTCTCAAACCCGTCAACGTCAAAATCCCGCCCAAATCGCTGCTGTCGCCCTCAGACGGCGCCGCGGTGGTCGGCGGGAACGTGCTCACGTCCCAGCGCGTGACGGACGTCATCTTCAAGGCGTTCCAGGCCTGTGCGGCGAGCCAGGGAGACTGCAACAACCTCACGTTCGGCTTCGGCGGTAACGTCACGGGGCAGAAGGAGGTCAAGGGGTTCGGGTACTACGAGACCATCGCGGGCGGCAGCGGCGCCGGGCCGACGTGGGAGGGGACCAGCGGGGTGCACACGCACATGACCAACACGCGCATCACCGACTCGGAGGTCTTCGAGAGGCGGTACCCCGTCATACTGCGCGAGTTCTCGCTCCGCAAGGGGTCCGGCGGGGAGGGCCGGCACCGCGGCGGCGACGGCGTCGTTCGCGACATCGAGTTCCGCATCCCGGTGCAGGTGTCCATCCTCAGCGAGCGCAGGGTCTACCGGCCGTACGGGCTCGCGGGTGGCGGGGACGGCGAGGCGGGGCTGAACGTGTGGGTTCGGAAGGTCGAGAAGGGCAGCTGGGAGAAGTCGTTGAAGAGGCTCAAGGGCGGCAGCGGCGCCGGGAAGGAAGGGGAGGAGGCCGAGTACGAGGAGCGCAGGTTCAACCTGGGCGCCAAGAACAGCGCGCCTATGAAGCCCGGGGAGAGGATCATTGTGAACACGCCTGGCGGGGGCGGATGGGGGAGAGTCGGGGAGGAGAAGGGGGTTAGTAGGGCGAGGGATCCGACGGAGGGGTGGAGAAAGGGGAGTCATGCTAATCGAGAGGATATGGCGCTGCAGGTTTAGATGGGGAGGTGATAGATTGGAATATCTTCACTCTCACTACTCTCCGAACAACCTGCGGCGATTGGTCTGGCTCATTTAGAATCTCCTCCTTTTATTGCTACCTATGTTGCCGCTCCTTGTCCACTCCTTCCTTGCCGAGCAGCTGGGCATCAAGCGTAGAGGGATCTGAGAGATCTAGATGCGAGCAGTATGGCCTATAGATGCACGGATTCGCGACGTGAGACGTAGAGCAGATCATGCGCTTCTCTGAGTCAATGCGACACGATATATTCTAGCGCATTCGCATCGAAAGCGCCACCTCGTACGACAGTGTCTACCCAACAGGGGCGTCTTGGTCCACGGCCTGCACTGCTAATCGTAGTCATCTACGTTCTCCGAACGAGCTGCCTTCATTGGCATCTCCTACTTTGAACACCCCCTCTTCTCGAGATGCAGAAGAGGGCATACTGATCACATATGCTTCTCTGAATTTAATGCGACATGAAGATTTATAGCGCATTCGCATCCACAGCATGACTTCGTACGGAAAGAAGTCTCTACCAAGAGACTCCAAAAGACCAAGGGCGTCCTCGAATCCCGAGAGCTTGGCACTGGACGCTGGAGAGATGGAGACGACCCAATCCGGTTTCACGGCGAAGGGGATACCAGATCGAGAAAAAACACGAGATCGAGCCGGCCGCGAGAAATACGAGATGGTGAGTCGTCAGTCTGGACGTGGGGTATCGCGAGTACGAAACATACACCCGCATGCAGATGTCGTCCGAAGTCTGGCGGACCCTGTGAGAAAGTGTTGGGACGAAAGGGGGAAAGGAGGCAACTCGAAAGGCTTTCTGATGGAGGGGGCGTGGATGGAGAAGGCGTTCCTGATCTGGACGGCCGGAGAGTTTGACACAGGACGGGCTGGTCGATCAAGACCCGCGCGGGAGATGGGCAGGGCGGAAGGTTAGTACGGCTCCCACCTTCGAAGATGCGTACCTGATTTGACATTTGGGTTGGTGATAGGTCGAACGGATCCTTGCATGACGAAGTTTGTTCCTGGTCTTGGGCGTGGTGCGTATCGGGTAAGGGCCCGATCGTTTTCCTGCTCGAACTCAAGGGGAATCCGGAAGCTTGGTCCCAGCTCGGATATTGAGGCTGGGGAATCAAGACACAGATGGCTTGTTCTAGATCTTGAAGTTGACTTTCCGGGTTTTCCGGTATGGTATTCAGGTAAATTACGTTTCGCTAAACTACTTACATTGAGATGGCGTTCCAATTATCTCCCCTAAACTGATGAACCAAAAGAAAACGCAAGACAGAGAAGAGGGAAAAAAAGGCGTAGTGGGGGATTCTCCACAATGCATCAGAATGCTACCTATTACATTGCGGAGAAGGACTGGGAAACGCAAATCTTTGCGGCTGCAAGCTGCTGCTGTAGGAAGACTCGTCGCCGTACCGACCGGCGTCTGCCGGAGACGGACGGCCCCACTCCGCCGGACTCGGCTCACCCGGCGTGACATCCTCCCGGCCGGACACGCTCTGATAGCCTTTCCCTCTCAATTCAATCTCGTCCTCGGATTGAGGCGGCGGTTTCGACGACGAACGCTTCGAGTCGTTGGAGACAACCTTGTAGTGGTTGTCTATTCGACTGCTGACTCCATCTTTAATCCCGACTACAGGGCGGTTGTTAGTATTTATGGGTATTGATAGGCGATACGAATCAATAGATCATCTTGAAAAGTAGCAGGATTCAACTTACAGATGCTGTAGTAAATGTACTTCGCGACCACAGGCGCCCAAGGTAACACGGCGACGACCTGTCCGAATGTCCATTCATCCTTTTTATTCATCGACCCGTACGCCGCCGTTAGGACGGTTTCGACGTTCGAGAGCAATAAATACCAAACCAAGAAGTTCACGACGAACCAGATGAGACTCCAAACTATCGAAATGAATCCGAAGGCCCACTTCAGAGGACGGGATCCCTTCTTCGATGTCTCCATCCACCCGACCATCTTCGCTCGCAAAGAAGGGATGTTGACAAGTTGGTCAATGGAAAGGAGTATGAACCCTATCAGGGGAATTCTGAAGTAAGGATCAGAGCCCAAAGAATCATCCGCGAACATATTAGGTGAAATGCGGCACGTCTCCAGAATGCTCTCCCGGTGGCCGCCGCACTGGGATAGCGGGACGTAACCTTCCTTTCGAAGTCTGTCGCCCATCTCTCGGATGACTAGACCCAAAACGCAGACGGTCACTGCGAGTAGATACGTGTACCACCAGTGAAGTTTCCTGCGGTGTAGCTCTGTTTGAACCATCAGGACCACTAGGGCATTTCCTGAAGAAAGGTGCCGAGCGGCGTCCCAGTCGAGATCCGGGACGTGTTCGTTGAATACCACAAGAGAGATGGAAGCCAACTGTATAGCGATGGTGAAGAAGGCCTGCGCTTCCTGGAATTCGACAAAGGATGAGAACAGAGCCACGGAGAACCGTGATGCGCACAAGCGTTCCAGAAAGGATTCCGTCCGAGTCTTTTCCGAGTCCTTTCGGGTTGGCAAAGAATCCTTCCAAATCTTTCGTTTCGTACGGTGCAGACAACTGGTCAACTTCAAATAGATGTTTGAACTCGGGTCCCGAGGGATGAAGATAGAGAATACAAAGAACCATGCCCCCAAGGCGAACTGGATAATGTATGAAACCGTCACCTGCAGCTTTGTCAGAGACGATTTCTTTAGTGGTAGGATTGACTTACCCCTGGACCGACGATATCAGCTTCTGGGTCACCTTTCACGGAAGAGCAGAGCGATTTCAAGGGATCCAGAATAGATCCCAGGTCATCGCCTTCTTCGTATCGGGCTGGAAGCTTCGCGATCTCCTGCCCGCAAACACCATAATCGGTTTCCACCTGATTGCCTTGTTCGTCTTCGTGACACGACGCACGAGTACACTCGACAATTTGTTGAAGAATTCCACTGCCGTTGAATGAAGACAAGTCTTGAATTGGATCCGAGGCTGAGTAATCTAGCATTCTGCTCGCTTCGGCTAAAGAGGTCTCGTTGATGCTGTAGGTGCCGTTTTGCAAGAGGATTGATGCCATTGCGAGTGCGACGCAATTGTAGAAGCGATACTTCGAGTAGAACAGCTTGTCTTGGCAGTACTCCGACAAAGATGGGTAATAAGAAAAACCCGTGATGTCGAGCCCAATGATGATTGGCGAATCATTTGACGATGCTTGAGAGTATACATCTCTAATCAGTTCGGGCCATCTGTGGCCCTCCGTGGAGTTGGCTACCAAAGGCCAATCATCTAAGCTCAAAGTTAGGGTATGGTTCGCCGACATAGTTGAGGTCGGCCCGCTGTACGCAGTAACGGATAATAGGTGAACGAGAAGATGAAAAGCGAAGAGTCTAAGGAAAGAGAAAACAAGGCTATGTGCTATATATACATCAGTCGAGACCACCTTCACGGCAGCCTTACTGATGTTGCACCGGCCTGGTCATGCACCTGTCAGCCTGGGCGGCACCAACTATCCAACCAAATCAATGGAATTCAAATTACGGGCTTTAAGCGAACGAACACTCAAAATATCCTACTGAAATGTTTCACAATGCTATGTTTATGGCTCGTCTCACCTAGCGTCAGTCTCACATCTCCCTCTGGTCGCTAACCCAGAGAGGCCCAGCAGCATTGAGAATGCGTAGATATCCGTTTTGTCAATTTCTCTGTCAGCCGTTGAACCTCAAATTGTTTCATGCGTATCAAATTACCATGTTCTGGTATCGTTGACGAAATGGATGAACTACATTTTGGTAGTCAATGATGACGGTGAGAATAACCTCATCTCGTAACGGCCAGCAGAAGATATAATTCAGATTATATATCACATCAGCCTCAATTATCGGTATGCTGGCTGCATCATTGTCGGAGTACCGGTAGGTTTCATTGAATTTATCATGTCGTCGACGACCATCATTCACTCTCTTCGACTATTTCGATCTTCTTAACCGGCCACTTCTTTGAACACCACAGAATGACCAGCGTCAGAACAATCTCGATCGCAAAGAACATCGTAGCCATCTCATAGCCGATGGGAAACTTGGGCGCGTCGCCAGTGTTGTACACCAACAGCGGCACCCACGCCTGGAACGTAAACGCGGCCGTCTCCACGACACCAATAATCACCGCACGATGTTCCGCAGAGTGCGAGCAAACCTCGTTGATCCATGTGATAATCAATGCCCCAGCACCGGTTTCGAGGAACGTGAGGATCCACGCCGCCATCATCGCAGGTATGTTATCCTCGGGATACACGCTCAAAATGATCGTGCCGATGATGGATACGGTACAGGCTACGATGACGAGTGGCCACCGCAGACCGATTGCGTCACTCGCCCAGGCGTAGGTCAACGTGAATAACACCTGAGTACCATACCCCGCCGTCGGAATGAGGTTGACCTCTTCGGGGGTGAAGCGGCCGGTGGATTTGAGCCAGACGTTGAAGTACGAGTAGATGCGGATACCGAGGACGTGTGCGATGAAGATGGCGCTGAAGAACCAGACAGGCCAGCCCTTGGCGATGTCCTTTATCGTGCGCCAGGTGAGTTTGCGGATGGGCTCGCGGCCAACAGCTTCCATTCTACCGATGGCCATTCTTCGGTCCTCGGGTTTCAACCAGCGGGCACGGGAGGAAGTTGGTTGATCGGGGATCGCCCAGTAGCCGTAAAGACAGACTGGGATGCCGATGATGCCTGCGCAGAACATGTCAGCAAGATCGTGAGTGTGTAGTTTGCTGTGATGATGTTGACTTGCCGTCAAAGATGAAGAGCCATTGCCATGCTCTGACGCCGTGACGATGGTCCATACCAGCAAGCAAGCCAGCTTGAAGATATCCAGAGAACATCTGGGCAACGGAACTCGAAGCCTGGAAAATGCAAGCACGCTTGCCTAGCTCTTGTGGCGTGTACCACTGTCCCAGCAGGGTCATGATACCAGGGTACGCGCTGGCCTCTAGTAAACCCACGATGAACCTCAGGGCACACAATGTTTGGATGTTCTTGGCTCCCGCCATGCCCATGACGATGAAGCTCCAAATGAGCTCGAGGGATGGAAGCCATATGGATGGCCGGATTCGGGTGAGAATCAGCTGCGAGGGCAGTTGACCAATGATGTACCCGATGTTGAAGAATGTCGTGAGGTAATTGAGGTCATTGCCGGTGAGTTGCAAGTCCTCTTTCATGCCGGATACGTATGCATTGCTTAAAATTCGTGTCAGTATTACTTTCAATGATGGCGTTTCGTTTGTCCGTGTTGTTCATACCTGACGTTCGTCTGGTCGAGGTCTTGAAATACGGTCAGCAATCTCTGAGATATGGAACGTTGGTATGGACGTACATTTGACGAAGTACGCAACACAGCAGTACGAGAGAATCCACCAGTCAACCTTGGCGATGAAGCGTCTCTGTTCTGGTGTCTTATCCAAGCTATCCCAGACAATTCCAGCGATTCTTTTGCGAAGAGAGCGTTGCGGCTGAGGCTGATTCGGTTCTATAGTTACCGAAACGGCGTCTTTGCCATCGTTAGTCGAAGCTTGGTCCATGTCGTTGTATGGCTGCCGTCACAGTTTCTAAAGAAGACATAAACACGACCGCAATATGAGCTCGAGGCAACTTCGAGAAGTTCGAGAAGATCTCGGCTTTCTTAAACATAAGTTCGATCAGCTCAGGGTGGTAGTCCGAGATCTATCGGTGTGGTCGATTGTCGACTGTCGATGGCGTCAACCGCCACAGTCGGAGAAGCCCCGACAGCTACCCCTTCATAGTCTGACCAGGCGATTAAGACCCATGAGACTGGCTTTCACAGGACCCAATTAAGATCGCGTGCTTGATAGTATATTGTTGCCGTGGGATGGGCTAGTATTGATGAAGCTCCCGGGTTTAATCGGTCTCGACAAATCCACGTGGGATAACAGCCGGCGAAGGCGGATCAGCCATCGGTTCAAGAACGACATCAAGATCTTAATGGGTGCATGTTGAGCGTTCCGAGATGACGGATTGGTGAGTCGGCATTCGTGCGACAGAGCACGTACGTGATAGTGGGCACCTCGTCGTAGATTCCTTGACGATGCTGAACGGTCAGAATGTACCATTGTGCATGTTCAAACGGATTTCTGTCTCGTCAAGGATCAAAACTACACAGATGGACTCATCGATGGTTCAATTCGACGTTGCGATTGCGTTATCGAAGGATCCGTCAAGTTAGTGGGCCGATTTCCCCTCCTGGAAATTCCTACCGGACGTTCCCCGACAGCAAGTCGAAGAACCGTATCTTCGGAGGTGACCCCGATCGGTGCCGATGCGGTTTCAGCATGCAAACCAGGCTTCTCTCATTTGTCGAACGCCGCGGGCATTGAAAAGCACTCAAGTCGCCTTGACCTGTAGTCGCACTTGACTTGAGAGCATCATCATCAACACTGAAGCCTCAGTTCAAGCCCCCAAAACCAGACATCATGGTAACAGAAACCGAAGCCCGGGCTATTTACGCCTCGGCAGTTCACTTCGACGGACTGAACATCGCCAACTGGTCTCGCGACATCTTCGAGTCCTGGCACAAAGGCGGCATCACCGGCGTCTCTTGTACGTGTGGCCTTTGGGAAGGCCTTCGCGGGAGTCTTGCCAACGTCGTGCAGTGGAAGCGATGGTTTGAGGAGCACTCAGACCTAATCGTGCAAGCTCACAATGTGGCGGACATTCGTGCGGCTAAGGAAGCCGGCAAGACGGCGGTGTTGCTCTCATGGCAGAACACGTCCGGGATCGAGGACCAGCTCGACTATCTCCGCGTTTTCAGAGATCTCGGCGTACGAAAGATGCAACTCACCTACAACACCCAAAATTACTCAGGCTGTGGCTACTCAGAGGCCAGAGACAGTGGTCTAACGGGGTTCGGCAAGGAGGTCGTAGATGAGATGGCCCGGCTCGGCATCGTGTGCGACCTTTCTCACGTCGGACCGCAGACCTCTGAAGATGTAATCCTGTACGCGCCCGAGGGCAAGCCGCCATGCTTTTCGCACATTTTGCCTGGGGGCTTGAAGGACCACCCACGCAACAAGTCGGATCACTTGATCAAGCTCATCGGCAGCAAAGGCGGTTTCGTAGGCTTGTCGCAGTTCGGACCTCACATGCCAAAGGGGAACGATAGCACAATTGACGACTACGTTGACGTCGTCGACTATGTTATCGGGCTGATCGGGGAGGATCTTGTTGGGATTGGATCGGACGCTAGTGAGGGACACGCCAGGCCGAGTGAGTTCCTGGAGTGGTGCAACAGAGACAAGGGTTATGCTCGGCGCTTAACACCTTGGGGAAGCCAGAAGGTTGTCAAACCTTTGGGACCACTGGCTGAGCGGGCTGAGCTGGCTGCGGCCATGGCGAGGAAGGGTTGGAGCGAGGAAAAGATGAGAAAAGTATTGGGCGAGAATTGGCTGAGATATCTTGAGAAAATCTTTGAATCGTGAGAGATCAATTGAGTTGCCTGGTCTACCAAATATGCCGAATCAGTGAGATGGCTGTTGAATGCAGAATTTCGGATCCTTCCAACATGCACGAAATGATCGTCTTACATGAGAGAAAAGCGCAGAAAATCACTTCGAAGTGCCCGAAAAGCAGGTTGTTCGGCGTTTCAGCTCGTACAAGGTGAGATCCTCAGAGATTGACAATGAATGAGTTGCTTGTGTCTCGGTGCGGCTCCAGTTCAAGCACATGCATCCTCTACACCTGTGCTGGATTTGATTCTACAAACAATCAATTCCAGGATAACGAGTTCGGCGGTTCTTTTGTAACTTATGTCGTATTCATGATAGCCTTGGCTCTCCATCAACTGTGCCATCGCATCCGCGTGCGCAAGCCATCAGTCTCCGGTCTCAGGACTCTCGGAGAAAGGATATGATAGTACCGAAAGTTATACTCGGTACTTGATCATTTATTGAATCTGGCATAGGACGTCTTGCATGTTTCTATGGTCATTCTTCTAGGTTACAATTCCAGGGTTCTATTCAAATCCTTCGAGAGCACGGTATTCCAGAAGGATTGATGAACATTTGGTCAAGTTGTCCCTATGCTTCCGTGGCACCAATTCTCTCGAAGTGCATTGATTATTTCATCTGTGAGTACATATTTCTCATGATCTGTGGACGGCTTGGTAACATGTTCTCTTAGTCGGCATCGTGCATGGCGTTGCGAACCGTATAGCCAGTATATGGTTGCGCCTAGCGACACTCAAAGAACACCATTGGATCTGGAGTGTGTAAATGGGACTGTGGAGAGCGACTATGTTCACCTGCGTAACATTGAAGACACCGGGCAGAGCGGCCGACTTCGCCATCCGGGGCTCACGGAGTAGGGCCGAGATCAACCGGCAGAAAACATCGGTGCACGTTCGGCGGGAGGTCCAGAGCAGATGCTTCATTTCTTGATCCCCTCGTAACATAGCACCTTATAGAAATGTCAAACCATTAGCTGGTAAACTCAGTGCTACTTTTTCTTGACTTTTGAGTCACCGGTGTACTCGTACGGAAGATCTGACTTTTAAACTAAATGCAGCCACTTATAAGCTAAGGGAACGGACTAATTATTGTTTAAGATGCGAAAGAATTCTTATCAAACTGACATTTTATAAACAAACGACCACAGCGATGAGGACTAAAGGCCATGCAACTGTTACTGGCTGTCTCCTCCATGAAAAAGCAGCGCTTTTCCCATTACAGTAATAATCGCCCCGAAACATCCCACGCTCAGCTAATCTGTCCAAATGTCTGCAATCAAATTCTTTATGGTTCCGAGGTGATACGCGAAAGTCTCCTTCGACTCGTGGCAGTTTAGTTTCGTTGGCGGCGCTGTCATAATACCCGGGAAACGACTCACTGTAATGGTCAGTGAATCATTCGCCCATAAAGCCCATTGAAATCAGAAAAGTTGTTTAAACTTCCTGAGTAACTTACAAAAAAGAGTTGGAAACGTTGTGTGACCCAATGTCAATATCAAACATATCCTTCTGCGGCCAATACCAGGATCTAACCGTCGTGCCGTTTTCGTCGGTCGTATTCGTAGACGCCAAAGTAATACTCTTGGTAAATCTGGTGCTGATACTGAAGTTGCGCCAATTCATCGCTTGCGGTACGTTGGAAATCCCGACGAGGTTTGCTTCGTTTTGGATGCGGAACCGTTGGAGCTGATCGAACGGCAAATGAAGATGAGTGATGTTATTCTTATAAGTGGTGAACTCATTGACGTCCAAGTTTTTGAGACGAGGGTTCCTCCTGAAATTGTTGACTGAAGTAAGCCAAAGATCCCCGATTTTCATCGACGTCGTTTTGTCGCCGCCAAGGATCACCTCAAGGTCTCCGTTGTCCGGAATTCCATCGAATTGGAGACTTTCCGTCTCATTAAACCCAACAACGACCCGCTTCAGTCGGGGGCAACCGTAAACGGCTGCCTTCTTGACTTTGATGTTATTGTTGAAGAGGCTATCGACTGACTCAAGGTCGCAAGCGGCAACTGTGATATCGTAGGCTCTATGTCCCTCCTTGCCGCCGACATAGCGGAGCTCGTTGTGCCTGAGAGTCGAGAGGCGAGGGGCGTTGATGTAGAAAGTCGATTCGATAGAGTGAAGAGCCGTTATATCGAGATAGACGAGGTTAAGCGTTCTCCACATCTCAAAAATGCCTCCCACAGTCTCAAGCTTTGGGAAACTGATGTTTTGGAGGCCACCACCCTGAGGTTTTAGGTCTCCGCCCACTCTTGTCAAAGTCGTGGATGATAGGTTGAGACTGTCGCCATGCGTGGTAACCCATGCAGCCAAAGTACCATGAATGACCTCTACACCGCTTATATCAAGGTTAGCAGACTCCCCTAGTTTGATGACAACATTTCCGTCAATTTCGCGGCATTCCCGCAACGCTTCGGCATCTCGGGTCGTGTTGACCCAGAACCATTCATCTTGGCAACTTTGGGCTTCAACACCTTGAAAACGGTGTAAGTATGGTAAACAACCGAGAGAATGATTATGGTACTCACAAGTAACGAATCGCCAAACCAACAAGAGGCATGTCAGCCACCAAAACGCGTGAGCAGCCATCGGGTCTTAGCACAACGAGGTTTTAAAGTTATCGGCCTAGCTCGTTATTTGGGCGACGCTTCGTTTTTGTAGTACTCCTCAGACTTTGTATTGAACGAAAACACGGGCCGAAAACTCCATTTCAGGAGCGACAAGATGCATCTCAGCGGCGCAGCCGTAGTCAATTGGTTGAACGGGGATCAAGCGCTCGGCGGGTGGTTAAGAGAGATTGCAAACTGCTCGCTTCTGTTTTTGCGGCTGGGCAGCTATACCAAAGATGCCGTGTATCCGAGTATTTGAAGCATTTTGTTCTCGCAACCAAAATTCATTGCTTCATCCAATTATGGGTAAATCCTCTGGTATCATCCTCGATCGATATTTCTAATTTGGGCTGCCTTGGCAAAGGGGCAGAAGCCAGCCCCCACATGGCTTAGGTCTTGTTCAATTCTTGAACTGGAAAGGAAGCGCATACGCGGTTAAACAGAGTGAATCCCGGACCTACGACGCCGGAAATATGGTTAATTAAGCCGGACACGGAGAATTCCCGGAGGGCGTCCGGAGCCGAAGACCCCACCGCTCTTGCCTTAACCAGCTCGCCGGATCGGGTGCCCCGGAGTGGGTCTCTTGATTGGGGCTTTCTGCACTGACCATCGAACCCCGCGTCGCCCCTCGCCGTCTTTTTCCACCGCAAACCGCCGGTGATTCATCCTTTCCCATCTCATTTTGACCATCACAGCACCGGACTTGACCGGACATACAGCAAACAACACCACGGATCCCTGTCTATCTTTCAGACGTCGGAATCCACAATCGCGGTGCGTCTGAGATACGTGAATAAGGCGACTTTGATAAAGAGCTGGCCTTTTCCTCCGTAGATATCACTCTACCTAGATCTCACCACTCTCTCACAACCCCGCATCAATCACGCATCATGTCTCTCACCAACGAGGAATGGGAGGAGATCCGCCAGGATATCCCATCGACTTCGGACCCTTTCCTTGCCAAGTACATCAACGGCCGCGAGGCGCTCGTCGCCCAGGAACAAAAGTCTCGCTCAGATGCCTCGTTCCGCGCCAACTCTTCACCGATCGTCCGCCGGGCAGCTGCCATTGTCGATCGCATCCGGGAGGAGGAGAAGAAGACGACATGGAACGCTCAGGCCGAAGAAGACCTAGCGACGAGCGAGGGCATGTCGCCCTTCCCGGGCATGATGTTCACTCTCGCGAAGCAACGCCTCGAGACGACCCGCCTGTGGCGCATCGTACAAAAGATGCCCAAGGGATCGCTGCTTCATTCCCACTTGGATGCCATGGTGGATTTCGACTTCCTCTTCGACGTTCTGCTTAAGGAGCCCGGCATCCACTTCGCTGCGGACAAGCCTCTGTCAAACGACAATGCTCTGTCCACTTCTGGTGTTCACTTCAGATTCAGAAACGCGGAGACCAGCGCCAAGCCTGTTTGGGATGAGAGCTACGTCCCTGGAGAGTTCAGATTGTTGACCAAGGCGGCGGATGAGTTTCCTCATGGTGGCAGGGCCGGGTTCCTCAAGTGGCTGAAGGGACGATGCACCATCTCTTTGACGGACAGCGTTGAGCAACACCATGGTATCGATGCCATCTGGCGCAAATTCGCCGATTGTTTCACGGTGACTAACACGATCATTCACTATGAGCCAATTCTGCGTGCCTTCTTGCGGAGACTCATGGCTCAACTGCTGGCTGATGGCGTCTACTGGGTTGAAGTCAGGTTAGTACAGTTGTTGATCGAACTTAACAGGCCATTCCTAACGATGCCAGATTCACCTGGCCACTTAACTATTGTCGCACAAGTCAAGAAGAGCCGGAGAAGGACTATAACCACATGTTCCAGGTCATCGACGAAGAACTCAAGGCTTTCAAGTCCGCAAACCCCACCTTCTGGGGACTGCGCACAATCTGGACCACCTTGCGTATCCTGCCTACTCGTGAGATCATCCAGAGCATGGACAATTGCATCACGACCAAGCTTGCCTGGCCACACCTTATTGCCGGCTACGACTTGGTCGGCCAAGAAGATTTGGGCCGCCCTCTCCGCGATCTTCTTCCCGAGCTTTTTTGGTTCCGCAAGCAGTGCGCTGAGGAGGGTGTCAACCTGCCCTTCTTCTTCCACGCCGGCGAGACGCTCGGCGATGGCGACGACACGGACCAGAACCTCTTTGACGCCGTGCTGCTCGGCACGCGCCGAATCGGTCACGGCTTTTCGCTCTACAAGCACCCGCTGCTTATCGACATGGTCAAGGACAAGCGTATTCTCGTCGAGAGTTGCCCCATCAGTAACGAGGTGCTTCGTCTCTGCGGCTCCATCATGTCGCACCCGCTGCCTGCGCTCTTGGCTCGCGGTGTCCCCTGCACACTCTGCAATGACGACCCCGCGATGCTCGGCCAGGACACGGAGGGCTTGTCTCACGATTACTGGCAGGCTCTGCAAGGATGGAAGAACGTCGGCCTCGAGGGGTTGGGGTCGCTCGCGGAGAACAGTGTTCGCTGGGCCGCGTTCGAGGACGAGACCCCTGCGGAGTGGACTGCAGGCGTCAAGGAGGCGAGCCTTGGATCTGGAGTCAAGGCTGAGCGACTGAGGCAGTGGGCAACCGAGTGGGAGAAGTTCTGCCTCTGGATCGTCGAGGAGTACGGAGACGAGTCTGAAAAAGCATGAGGAGAAAGTTCGGGAGCTCAAGTGTCCTGCTGAAGGTTTTCATTCTTGGTATTCTGTTGCAAGGGAAAGCGGGGAGCCTCATTGGTTTCGAGGCAAACGGGGAACAAGTAAAGGTACGCGGGCGGAAAGCATGTCTACAACGGAGTTTCAACAAAAAAGGGGGATTCAACAGTAAAGGGTCAGCATCAACTAGTTCCTGCCAGGATTTTGGAGTTCAACACAGCGGATAAACGGGGTTTCAATGGATTTCGCATACAACAGAGCAAAGAACGAGTGGGCAAGAATGGACGAGCATTGCTACGTCGAGGATGGAAGTGAGCCGTGGCCCCAATGCATACCCGACTTGCCTCCTCGGACCGAGGACTGCCGGACCCAGGTGCATTGAGATACTCATGGATCGTGCAGAAAGTATCAAGAGACAAACCTCCCAAGAAGAGTAACTGCCTAAAGAATCAGTCTGAGAAATCAACGTCAGGCGCATTAGCCATGGCCGAGACACTCTTGGGTCGGATCCGAAGGCCACTTGAATTTCACGGCCACTGCGTCATGCGAGGTCCGCACGTTCCGAGGAAAGAATCTTGTTCTCTTCGCCATCCATGCCAGATGTGCTGACCAAGCCTCGCTCGCTCGGGAGGAGGAACGAGCTGGTAGCCAAGCGAGCTCTGCAGACGCCTTAGACTTGCCCCCGACTTCCTGAAGACGCGGGTGTCTCAAGCCCAACCTTCCGATCCATCCATTTCAGGAAGTCACTCCTTTGATCAATTCTTGATGGATTCTGTCAGTCCCAAGGTTGGAGGCGATGAAGTAGTTGTTGCGTCGATAGTGCGACGATGGTCGATGATGGTTGACCAGATCCCATCATACGTCCCATCAACTCCTGATAGACTCGACATTCGACATCAGCCTAAATGAAGTTCAATCAAATAGCCCATCGGACGAGAAGTTCGGGCAGACGAGTCTTGTTCGGGCAAGTGGGAGGCCGTACACGGGCCACAACTCTCTCATGAGTCGCATCACCGAAGCCGGCCAACTTACAAAGCACTTCTTGGCATTAGCCTACTGGCCGCGATTCGGGGACGATCCCGTTGCAGATGATACACGGTAGATCATACAATGACACCGTTTATCCCTCGGTGGCCGTTGCTCGGCCTATGCTCCGTAGAAACAAAACATAAGAGGCGAAGAGATATAGGCAAGGAATCGTGCGTAGTAAGGGACGATCTGCGATACGAAAGCGGGCGCGAATGAAAATTCAGTGAACACGATTGCTGGTTAATAACAAGATGTGTTATTGGGGCCTCCGTGCTTCAGATTTTACATCCCACACCCAGGGATCTGCGGTGCTGTGTCTCACGGACATCCGTGTGAGCCATGTCAACCACCACTGGGCACCAAGGTCGGGGCCGGAGAGGATGGACAGAGAGACCCACGGCGGCGTTCGGCTACCGGCTGCGTCTCGGGGAATATATGTTTTATGAAACTCATATCAAAAACAAATACTGGGCCCGAAGCCTTCGGACTCGGACTTGAAGATCATGTTTCTCGGATCAGCACCGGGATTGAGTTCTTGAAATTGAGTACAGCCGCGACAACCCTGCTCTTATACTGTGTTAGTCGGGGACCAACATATCATTCTCACAGCTCGATACAAACTACGTGAATGTAAACACTTGCACTGTGACCGAAGATGATTTAGTACCGTCCGGTATCTTCAAGAAACTCTTTCAGTTGATCATACATAATTTTACATTTTGTACACGTCCATGGATGCTCGCTTGCCCGTGACTCCATCTCGCAGGACCGCTTTCTATACACAGCTTATATGCCATCGTCATGTGCACCAGGGGGACAAAATGGCTCGGATGAAGAAAACAGACATGCACGTCCAGCGTGTCAAGCCACAGTCTGTTGAGCCGAATGAGTGATTTCCGTACATCCCATCATGCGTAGCCAGTCATATGTAAATCCGTACAAATACAATACAGAGAAAGAAAACGAGACGCAAGTCATACATCGGGAGAACAATCGCTCCCATCAATCAGTAGATGACGGTTACCCTCCTCCTGCGTCGGGTGGGCTTCTGTTCCTGGCCCATCATCGGCGGTCCGGGAACCGGGTACTCGAGGTTGTCCTTGTAGATGTTGAACTTGATACCATCGTCGCCGGACTTATACAGCGCCGTCGCCTTGACGCCCTTGGGCTTCTCGGATCCTCCACCCTGGACGTCGAGATTGACACACTGGGGGTAGTTCTGCGCACCGCCCTCACGTCCCGCCTCGTGCAACGCGATGGTCTCGTGGCGGAGGACGTATTGTCCAGGGGCGATGTTTGCCGGAATCGTCATCGTCCACGACTTGTTGTTCTGGAGCATGTCGTCCGAACCCCACTTCCCCGGCGCTTTGGATCCATCGACCAGGCCGACGGCGTCGATCTTGAAAAACTCGAGATCCTCCTTCTTGACCTTGGCGCAGTCACCGTTACAGGGGGCTAGGTAGTCCATCATGGGCCCGTGGTGAGACTCGGGCCAGTCGGTCCAGAAGACGGTGACGTTGGAGCCGGCTGTTACCTTGGCGGCGATGGGTGCGGGCTCGGCGCCGACATGGCAGATGATGTCTGGGTCTGCGTACTTATCGACGGCAACGAAGCCGTTGGACAGGTCCTTGGGGATGGACCAGCCTACAACTTGTGGTGGCGGCTTCTTGTATTGCATCTGCGGGCTGTAACCCTCGTAGCTGCAACTTGTTAGTGACCCGAGAGAGTGAGAGGTTGCATGAGATCCACGCGTACAAGACTCCATCTGCCATAATACCGTTGACTGTCCCATGAGCGCTAACAGCTTGTAGGGCTGCTGTAGCCAAGAAGGCATACTTTATGGCAGACATCGTGAAAAACTCTTCGTGCGAGTCGCGTGTGATACGGTTATTTGATGAGACGTTGGGAAAGAGTTGGCTGATCTTTGGTGATCCTCCCAGAAAGACACTATGTTTACTGGAACGATCGTCGTCGATTATGTGTTATCTTAGAGAACGGTTAAGGAGCGTGATAGTCGACCAGCGCGCTATGTTGTGTATTATCAAAGAGTGTGTAAGTGCTTCACCCGGAATGCAATGGCCGGTCAAAATGGCGGTACTCCGGAAGGTCATCTATTATATTGCCTCTCTAGCCACGGGGGCCAAGGCCAACTCGCGGCTGGAAAGCATGCCGACCCCCTTCATCCCTTCAAGAAGATTTCTTCAGCCCCCTCCCCCTGGTTGCGCTGATGTTCGAGCGCACCCTCAGAGGAAAGAAGGTGCAAAACATCAGACACAAAAGAGGCGACGATGACCTCAGGCACCGGCCGGGATCCAAGCTGTGATTGGCAAGAATCGGATTTTCGCCTTCCAGACCGTTGGCTTCTGGGTATCACTTGGTCATGTGCCTTGTTTCAAGACGGGGGTGATCCAGTCTTCGACGCGGGTTCCCTTTTCCAAGGCGGCCGTGCCAGCACCCTACTCAGCCTCATAGAGTTATCTTCCGACGATATTTCACGTTTTTCCTGTCTGTTGTGGGTAGGAAACTTTGGTTCCGGGCTTCGGATAGCATGGCCACCCCGGACAAGATCGGGATTCGAGCCTCTGCGATTTGACTCTTCGCAGTCGGCGCTCTTTCGTCTCAACAATTTCCCAATTCGGCTTTGGCCTCGGCTGCCGCGTTCAGACTATTCAGCTTCCCCAATTTCATGCGACTGTCCGATCCTATATTGCTTGAGCTGATATTATGGCCAAAGTTTTTGAGACCGTTTCATCTCTCCACAAAGTGTTCATCTCCTCAATGAGAGCCGCACTAGCCAGCATGACGTGCTTCTGCGACGAAAGTCTGATGTTCTCTAATTCGTTTTCTTACTGATTAACTCGTATTCCTCCTCAACATAGTTTCCTTCCTGAGTCTGACGGGCTGACAGAGGCGAAAATAGCCATCAATTGCCTTGAGGACGCCCGCCGTTCGTCGAAGGGAAAAGCCAAAGCCGCACACTTTGGACAGATCCCACCCAAGTCTGATTGCGAGCGGCTCGCATTGATGATGTCGTTGCCGTCGAAGGAAGTTCGAAAGGAATTCTTCGCGTTCCATGCAGATTGCTGACCATCGGAAACGTCCCCGATTTCCCGGTAATCCGCACCATGTCCTTGTGGCCGCTGACTCGGTATCGCACTCCGTGCAGATCTTTCTTTCACAACAAACAAACAATGTTTTGATATCCTCCTTTACTCCTTAACACCGCCAGATAATGTCGAAGACCAGATCCCGCCCTGGCGGCAGGCCCTTCATCCGAAAGTAAAATCGTCCCGTGTTACAACAGCTCGAAGTCGTCCAGCTTGTCGCGGTATTTCATGATGTTCCTCTTGACCTTGCTGCCCACGGTCCATGTGACAAAGTCCTCCATGCTGCGAGTCACCAAGAATGCCGGGTCGGTGCATGTCTCCGTGCCTACGCGAACGTGGCCCTGCTCGATGAGCTTCGTCGCCGCCTGAACGGTCTCGGCCATTCTGCAAGTCATGATTAGCATTTGAGCTTACAGACTCGGTGGCATCGTTGGAATCTTGCGTACCTGAGACGAGTCATGACGACTGGGAGGCGCCTCCTTGCGAACGCGCTCACCGTCACATTGTTTTCGACGGCTGACAGCTTCGATGCCGAGGAGAGAATGCCCATGTCGTATAACTTGTCGAGGAGCAGCTTCTCGTGCTTCCGACGAGCCGCGCTTTCAGGGGGCATGAGACTCAGTCTATGCGCTAGCTGACGGGCAGACTGCGCAGCCATGTATCAGTTTCCATCACATTAGGAGTTCCGTTTTCGAAGTGTCTCGAATCGGGGCGACCGGTGCCGAACTTACACCGCAGAGTCGGTTGTATTTGTGCTGCAAAGTATCGTTAGCAACAGTCCATAGCCCGCCAGCGATCGCGAAAACACTCACATAATCCTCAGGCTTCTGAATCATGTATCGGCGCACCTGTTCAGCCGTTAGAATTCGTCGCGTAGCCCCCCTTTGTCAGGTTCTGCCATACCACTGCGGCATCTCGATGGTCGCCATCCTGGTGAAACTATCGTTAGCCAATGCGCCCAGGTCTGTCGGCTATGCGGCGACGGTCGGAGTCGGTACCTGTTTGTAGGTGATGAAGTCGTGCTTCCGTAGAAGCTTCTGCTCGTGATGCTTGAGTTTTCGCACCATGGTGGGCTACCAGTGTTGCGATTTCCTTATACGATTTGGTGATGTTGAACCGCTTGTTGTCTGGAGAAAGAAAAGTTCTGGAGCTAAGGCGGGACAAATGCTTATCGGGGTCTTATCGTAAATGTGGGGCGGAACATTCCGTCCGCCTACCAAAAAATTACCGTGACAGCTTCAAGCTCCGCGACAGATCACGTCGCCCGCCCGAACGACAGCATCGCCGCCAAAGTCCAATCATGCCTCCGAGACTAACTTCGCTTCCGGCCTTCAAGGCACCGAGCGCCTTCTTTTGTCGCACTGCGCGACCCTTCTCTTCGACCCCCGCTGCTAGCCGTATGCCCATTCCTCCCTGTTGCGAAGCACACCAGCTAACTTCTGCTGTCACAGAGGTTGAAAACCACGGTAGAGGAATTCTCGAGCTCGACAAGCCGGCTACGCCGAGTCCCTCCGATCGAATCCGTGGCTTGATCAGCAGACGGTCCACTCCTAGCGGCGAAGACTCCTCTGTCACTCGCAAGCGTAATATGCTCGACACCCTCAAGGGGAAGAAGATTAGCGACGACTACCTCAAGCAGATGTCACGACGTTGGAAGACTGGTGACGTTTATGCGCCTCACGACCTGAGTCCTACCGAGATGGACAAGTGGCGCAAAATTCAGAAACCCAAAGCTGATGTTATCGATATGCTGGGCATCAACCCGTTGGACCACTACCGAGTACGTATTGCAACTATGGGATGATGAAATACCCCGGAGTTTCAAGATTGAGGGCTGACGCCGATACAGAACTTCTCTATAATCTCCGAGTTCATGACACCGTTCGGACACATCAAGCATGCCAAGGAGACGGGGCTGCGGGCGGTCAACCACAGAAAAATCAGCAAGGCCATCCGCAGAGCGATCGGTATGGGTATCCATCCAAGTGTGCACCACCACCCCGAGCTGTTGAGGGCCAGGCGTAACAACAACGCGGGATGGAGGTAACGAGAAAAATGGGCGTGACAGTTCGTGGTCGACAGGGACGTGTCTAGAACGTTCGGGGCAAACCTCCCGTGTATGAATTGTACAATATCTTTGGCGTCTATTAAATTTGTACAGTTACAAGAAGCTTCTCCAGCATTTCGTTTTGTACAAATCATGCTTTTAGCACCCGCTGCAGCTTGAACTTCTTCAACTTCTCCGCCGTGACGTAGTAGCGTGTCTTCTCCAGCTCCGCCCACTCCTCAGGGAACTGCTTCTTTGCCCATGCCTCAAAGTCTCTCTGCAAGCCCTGTCCAGGCAGAGCATTGAACGGAATGCCTAATCTGCAATAAAGTTAGCTGTTTGTATCAGGACGAATTGAGGACCGGACAAGACTCACGTCATTGCATCAGGCCCATACCCAACAGCTCGTTTCATAGTTCTGATTGTGCTCTGTACCTCCTGAAGGTTGCCGTTGCCAGCAAGGCCGCCGCAGTAGGCTGCAAATACGGCCGGAGGAACGTCAATCTCCATCTTCTCGATCCTTTTCCAGATATCTCTGGCAATTTGATCGCCGAAGGCTTTGATTTCGCACAATGAGAAAACGATCTCGAGACTGTTGTAGGATGGGCCCTCGGCCGAGAGAACGATGTCCTTCCAGAAGTCTAGTGCTGTGCTGGGTCTTCTGCAAGCCCCGTACGCAATCATCAACGCGTTGTACATCCTTGTTGTGGGTTGGATAGTGGTATCCATCTTCAACATGTTATGGACGATTTTCAGACTATCCAAGTCTGGAGACTTGCCAATACCCTCGTAGCACTGTATGTAGGCTTCACTTGTCGGGTGGAAGACCGGATGGACATGTTGCCTCATATGGCCGAATACATGGACAGCCATATCGGGTCGGTTGCGGTTGAAGAAAGCCTCCATCAGCTCAAGACGGCTCTCTACACTGGTCTCCTGGAAGAATTGCCTCAAAATTGAGTACGCATCCCATACTCTTGCCGTGCTATTATTCCTGTCCAAACAGTATGCAACGAACGCATCTCGAATGGACCGTCTTTGTTCATTGCTGTGTTGAAAGACGTTGAGCGATAGCGTATCGATGACCTCGAACTGTTGATCATTCTTGAGGAAGACTGTGCACAATGCGACCACAGTATCGGGGTCCAAAGTGACGATCCGCTCTTCCAGGACGTCGGAGATCTCCCGAATCGCCTTCAAGTCAGGTGTGGCTTGATAGCACAGTGCCTGGAGGTATTTGTTGAGCAGTGGCAGATCCTCATCTCCACTGAGCTCAGTCTTCGGGAGCTGCATGTACGCGGCTCTTGCGCCAGATAAGTCCTTCGCCCGGATTTTGAAGTCCATTTGGAGAAGGTAGGTCTTGGCATTGGGACGGATTCCAAGCTCAGATGAGAAAGCAATGAGCCTTTCTGCCAGGTAAGGGTCGCTCTTCTCGGTCGCCACCTCGAGAAGGCCGTTGATTGTCTCTGTGTCGGGCAAGACGGCAGCGTCATCCGGGTTGTGGCGAGCAACAACCTCAAACATGGCTTTCACGTCATCTAATCCCTTGTCCATGGAAAGAACCGCCCACTGGTATATGACGTCCCAGTGCTCCTTACCCGGGTTGGAATCGACGAGTTTCTTGAAAATCGGTGTTGTCCAACCTTTTTGCTCGGTTCTGACGGAAAAATGCAGAAGTTCCTTGTATGTCCTGGCAGTAGGTCGTTCGTCGTTATGAATCGGCCGCAAAAACCACTTTTTGGTTTCCAAGGCAAGGTCTTTCTTGGCGTGGAAAATCGTCAAAATCTCGTGAACGCTGGCCGTAAATGGCACACCGAGCTTCTCCGCCCTGGCGACGGCATCGACGAGTTCTTTTGTGCGCCCCTCCTCCGCCAAACCCTGGAAAACATTGATCCAGAGGTTCTGGGCGTTCTGCCTTTCTGACTCCGGAAGACTGCTCCAGTACTTCTGAAGGACTGTAAGACCTTCGGTAGATGCGCCAAACAGAGTCAAAGCTACGAGGTAGGACTCAAAATCTTCGGCCGCGCTAGGATCCGTCGGATCCAATGCCCTCTCCGCCTTGATTGCCTCGTACAAGGCCCTGGAAAATTCCAAATGATCCTTGGTGTCTTCTTTTGGTAATTTTAGAAGCGCTTCCCTCGCTGCCGTCAGCTCCGTCAACGTTAACCCCGCGCCCGGCTCGTCATCCTTGTTCTCCAGAAGATATTTGAGCAGATTCCGGCAGTGCAGGGCCTGGGTGCTGTTGACCACCACATTGAATCGAAGCTTATATACGAACAGCTGTCGGAATGCCTCCACTAGTTCTGTCCTTGAAGGCGGTCGCACACTTTCCAAGAGCCGATTCCTCCACGTCAATACTGTTGTCCACCCGGGCTCGTACTCTGGCTTCTTGATTTGTCTCGGCGGCTTCTGGAGGATGCCGAAGAAGGTTCGTCGCGGGGCTCGTCGGGAGAGGGATATCGTGGATGCCACCGGCAGTTGCGTATGACGGCAGGTCGGTCGAGAGAGAATCGAGCATGCGGGGACGCTGCTCCTTGGTACTAGGACCCGTCGGGAGACATGGCGGGCTATCTGCGCCCTCATGATGTGGGATCAATGCTTCAATTGGGGGGTGCTATAGACGTAATTAATGATTTATCCTGACAGTAAAAGCTTCACAGTAACGCACCTTGGCATCTTCAGACCAATTCACACAATGCGCGGCATGTGGTGAAGCTCAATGCCGGCCGTCGAAGCTCTCAAAGATTTGCGAATTGGAATTGGACACTGGAGCTTTCGGCACATTGAAATCGCGGCAGCTGCCACCAAAATGCGACCCGCGCGGGCGGGTTGGTCCGGTGATTAGCCGAGCTTAGTCATTCTGTTATCGATGACACCACCCGACCGGTATCTCCGGCCACAACTCTCAACTCTCTGACTGTCATCTAACAATGACAACATCGAAGTTCAGAGGTTAGAGTTGGAGTTTCAGAGCCCAAAATTCCCAGTTTTGTTGTCGAAATTGGCTCTTCATTTCCGGCGAACTCGAATCGTCTTAACGGGTTGATCAACAAGTAGCCTCAAACCGGATCGGTGATCATCCACGGTACTGCTCTGGTCTCCTTGGAAGGACATTTATTATGGGCAAAGTGAATTATTCCTCATTCATCATTTTCCTCGAAGATCGACCATATCCGCGTATTTCAGTTCCAGGCGCAAATCTTACCTGGACGCCGCCAACATATGGTAGAGCGGTTTCGAAGTTCAGATGCGGCTCTCATGATCCCCACGACATACTTACATTGGTCAACAAGATGGGGCTCAGAACGTCAGGAAACGGCTCTTCGATTATTTTCCCAATAAGCTTCGCCGGGAAGTTTGGATGCATGAATACAGACGTCTGCTGAAGACGCCAGAAAACAAGGAAGTCAAGTGGCTGACACTCTCTGATGGAACATTCCAGACTGCCCAGAGAAACAAACGAGCGCAGGACTATGATGTGCGCACGAGTTCCACGACGGATAGTCGTTGGTTTGGTTGTCACCTCGGTATCAAGTGATCCGTTTCGTCGTCTCAATTGCCCGCTAGTATGGAGCACAAGCGCGCTCAGACATCGTTGGCAACCAGTGCGGGAACCGGAGCATTTTATCCAGATGACATAGATATGAATCATTAGAATGACGGTTCATTGTGAGCTGTGGTTGATAACATTCAAGCAACCGCAGTTCATTGTGGACCGGCTGTCGACGTCTTCTGCTCAATAGGCCTATTTATCCAGCACGACTGTGTACCTCAAGAGGCAATTGCGAAACGAACCATTCGGTCCTGTGGTATGTCTACACAATCTGAGGTGGCCTTGAATTCTTTACTTACCACGACTTAGTGCCCGAAAACGGATTCGACCCAGAGAGAAATCTTGTCTATCCCGCTGTACAACTTTCGCCTGTTGACACCCAACGACGCAGCCAACAGCTTCGGAAGAAACACTGGCAACTCGTGGATTCAACATCGAGAATCGCGGTGCCGACTTCCTATGCAGACGTCCAAGCAATGTCCGATTCCTCTAGCGAGCCAACCCCCGTGTTGAAGTCTACCATGAAGCCACATCAACTTCAACACCAACTACAACCAAAGCGGCAACCCAACCGACAGAATGCACGCTGCTACTTTTGTTGTTGCTGGTGCTGTTGGATTGTGCTATGCTGCTTGCTGGTCGTCTGCACTTGTGCTGTCATGCTCTTCTCTTTGCAGCCCTTGGCCGGTTCGGCTTTATAGGCTGGGGTTTCACCCAAAAATCGGACATGGCCATGCCGGCCACGATACTACATCATGGAGAGGCTTTGATGTGATCCATTGGCATCTTCACCTTGGCTCTTTGGCGATCTTGGTTGTCATGGACGAGACCTGGGATGGTAGCTATCCGCCATTGTCGACTCTGTCAACATCAACTCGGTTTGGGAAAGAGTAAGGCAAACCTCAGTGCAATATCTCAGGTGGCCGCTTTCCCTATCCGAAGTGGGCAGATCTGTCACTCCAATATCTTAGCCGAGACTCTCATCACGACCAAGGAGAGACTCGCCGGGTCTCATGCTTTTCGACCGAAGCTTCGCGGTTTTGCCGTTTTCCAAAATGCATCTCGTCTGCCCACGTGTTATCAGAGCCGTAGTTGTCGGTACAGTCGCCGAGAACGGTTCGCACGTCGCCAATGTCCCGGCCGTGGTGTCTGTCCTCTCCAAAGCAACATTTGACGCCTTTACAACAGTGGCTTTCCTTGTTTGGTTGTCGTCATCCCAGGACTTTTGACGTCAATTCCGGGAGTTTCCGACGTCAAGGCTACAGCCAAACATTTCTCCTACTGCGGCTCTTTCTCTGTTCCACCAAGTTGGCCTTGATCTTCCTTTTCCCAGCAAGAGAGCGACTTTCGACTTCCATGGTGCCTGTGGCGTTGTTCCTGGCTCAAGCATCTCTGTCGACTCCCCGATCGTTTGATCTGCGTCAATAGCAGGTGTCGGAGCCCATGTTTGCAACCATGTGTTCTCGGTCTTCGGTTCCTTCTTTTCGAGGCCTGGTTCCACCCATACCGACGATCGGTCCTCCTCTTCAATTTTCCGCACAAGCCGCATCCATACTGTATCGTCTCTCACAGGTGTCATCGAGGCTTCTGCTTCCAGGCGTCCAACTCTTACTGTCCCTCCTCTTCTTTTTCTCTGATGCGGGAGGTACCGTCGTCGTATTGTCTCCATCTGCCGGCGCCAATGTTGCTGATCTTGCTGAGAAGGGCACCGCCGTCCATGGCTCATCCGAAGTCCATCCACAATGGGCCCAGCAAAAATCACCAGCTTGCTGAGTCGGTTATCGATCGGCGATTCCGTTGCTCTGCATGAGCGAAGTCATTCGAGTTATTGATCCCCAATCTGTCACTGCCGCTGCGACGCCACGCCTGGTGATATCGGACGAGGTGTTGATGTGAGAAGAGTCGTCATGTGGTTGTTGGTGCGGATGAGATTTATGATGGGGAGAGGCAAGAGATATATAGACGAAAGGGAAATGAGGACTGGGCGAGGGACCCTGATACGACGGGGTGTTTGAGCGAAAGAAGGACAATACGACATGGGAGGAAGCCGCACGCGGGGGGTGGTGTACAAAGATCCGTCACAGTCCGGACGATCTTGTCCCATCATTGCCTAACCCGCCCTCCATCATCCGATGTGACGATGGCCCAGGGCTAGTGTGAGGATAGCCCTCGTCCTCGGTCAACGACGCTTCAGTTCATACCCGAAAGGAGGTTACATGTCCGGTAAGAGGGACAGAACGGAAGGAAGGAAACCCTGAGTCAAAGAGAAACGGCACGAGAAGTAAGAGAAAAAGCGAGAAAAGACGGAAAGAGAAAGATCGCCGACTCACCGCAATATAGCGCTTTGTAGCACCTCTAACCCCAGTAACCATGGTGTTTCCTAGTATGTTCTCCGCTCTCATTCGCTCATGGTTGATGATGATGCGGAAGTTGGTTCCAGACTTACATTGGAACTACTCAGCTCCGCCTCCCATGTTCCTCTTCCATATCATCGTTTTCATAATGTCCTTGTCTCTAGTTTCAGTCTCCCCTGGATACTCAAGTATGAAGATGCGTAGGGCCATCCGATTCTGCATTCCCCCATCTGTATCCGCAGAGTCCGCGCGGCATCAACGATCACGGGGGCATGTGGTTGACGTTCTGTATGGTCGAAGCAATCCTGATTTCGTCTGGTATACGGACCTATGCACCGGAAGTGGGTGTGGGAGATCGAACCCTGAGGCGTTCATGTCTGCGTTTCAGAGCTGCAAGTGCAGCTTACCGCGACTGGTTATTGTCGAATGGCGCGCGCAACCGCGCCTTCCTTGTGCTCCCCAATCGTTCCAAGAGAAGCGGTCTGGTAAGCACCGAGTCTCTCATTGCCCGATCTACCCCGCCGAAGGTCTCATCCAGTGATAGGGTCTCAGGTTGACGTCGCTCCTGCGTGAGGGCCGCGGCAGCCATGGCGAACTTGCGGACACAGTTGGAACGGTAAATTTTGATAGCAGAGAAGAGGAAAAGAAAGGGACAAGAGAATATTGAGAGGAACTCGTGAGAAAGAACCGGAGACTAACCTCGGGGGGTGCAGACCGAGAAAACCAGGCTAGGAGTTGGGAAAAAGGGCTAGGCCTAGCCTGCCATCCGAACATCGTCCTGATCTCGGTGATCCGTGGGACGTTGATCGACGGTTGACAGTCCCGCCCGTGCGTCCTCGACGTTCAACCTCTTTCACGCAACGAGGACGTTCGGGTACGGACTTGATCAAACATCGCCGAGATATGTCGACGACGGAGCCGGTCCCCACGCCAAGCAAAGCAACTACCGGACGAAATTTTAAAAATAATAAGAGACAAAACAGAAAGCCCAGCCCTTGTACGTTGCGTTCGAAGGCCGCAATACGCTGAGCAGTCTGCTTACCTCCAAGCCAGGATCATTACGAGACCGAACGAACCGGTTTCGACCAGCCCGGACTCTCTCCCCGGACACAAGCGTCGTCCTGTCAGTTCCAGTCTGCGACTGACAAGAAAGACATGCGGTCAGAGGAAGAGACAGATCACTGCGGCTAGCCGTGGTCGTCAACCCATAATGCTCTACACGGCACATGGCATCCATGAGATGACCGCGCCGCAACTCCGGAGCACACGCCGGGCATGACTTCTGTCTCCCAGGCGAAGAGCCAAGATGTTGCTCTGCGTGCCTTTCGGGCGTTCCCACGCGATGGCCTCCTTCACGACATGAGATGATCAGCAGCAGGAACAGGCTTGGCAAGCAGGACGCAAGGGCTCGTTCTCCCGCAGAAAGCAGGCCAAGACGGGGGCGGGCATGGCAGCAGGGCTACGGAGCAAGATGATCGGGCAACGAAATGCTACACAGAAGCCGCAAATTTCATGGGTCGCGATCCCATGGGATGTGATTCGGTTGCTATACTCGCATGTCATTTGCTCGTAGGCAAGGACTGTTACGGACAACCAGTTTGCAGGCATCCA